TTATAAATTCACAAAACACCTTTATCAGCGTAAGCACCAACTTTCACTGGCTACTGTAAACCAAATGATCCAAAACGCCAAAATAGTCGTAAGAAGATAAAAAGGCGGACGGTACTAAATTAGATACTTGCAGAAATGATCAATCACAATTGTTAATAGATGTACCAACGCATGACCATCAACACCAACTTTCAATGGATACTATAAACCAAATGATCCAAAAGAGTTGGTCCGGTGAAATGAATTTTTTTGTGAACATTGCCTTTGTATCGTAATTTTTCCAAACAAATCTTTTTGATGTAAGGATACCTCGGAATTTGTTTAAAAAAGAAACAATTAAGCATTTCCTTTTTTGACAGTTTTTCAGACTGTAGAACGGTAACGACAAAAGATCTGTCGCAAATTTGATCGAAATTCAACGGAATGAATTCAGTTTTTGGTTTCTTATATCTTAAGGCTTATTGTAAGGAATGCGGTAGTAGAACGGCAAAATATCGCTAATTAAGATCCACGGAAAAGTATCTGATTGGTATAAACATTAAGTCTTAAGATCATTTTCAACCCATAAGATTATGTTTTTATAAAAATTAAATTTTAATAAAAAAAAAATTAAAAGCATTAATTTTTTCTTGCTGAGAGTGACGCGTCTTATGACGAAAAGAAACTTTTAAAGAATTAGACGAGTTCAAATAGAACAGAACAAGTAGCAGCCTTGGTTACTTGTGGAAAAACGCGATTAGTTATCGCTTCCAATTTGACAGACACCAGTTCTAAGCCTGACACTTGCAGTCCATACTGTAGCATACATAATAATATAAACAATAATTTCCGTTACTCATTTCATGTGTGGTCTACTTGAGAAAAGTATTATTCACTTATTCTTAAGTCACACCATATTCGCAACAGCATTAATTGCTGATCTTGCAATTATGAGACAAAGCACTTTGAGCTGCTTGTGTATGCTGCGCCGCTCTTAAAGAACAGAAGTATTTGAGATGTTGCCTGAGCAACAACGTTTATATATGACTTAAATAAAATAATAAATATATATTGATAATAATAAATACTTGTTTTAATAATATCTAAATAAAATAATAAGAAAATATTACAATACAAACGGACTATATACTAATCAAGAAATTCAAATATTTCGTAAGACCTCGAGACTCGAGAAAGTTTTGTATGGTTAACCATATTTCAATAAATTAACTGAAATTTTTGTTGTTGTCTTTTCATTTCTATTCAAAATCTTCTTAAAAAAAATTAATTCCAATTAAATTTGCACAGACGTTTTTTTTGCAGCAAGTATACACCAGTGCGGTCACGTCACTACTGATCCTTCGCTTGCGTGTTGTCTTTGATGGCATTATGTTATTCTGCAGTCACTGTTTTTGAATAGGAAGAGGATTTGAAGTTAAGCAACATAAATAAAAGCTGGAAGGCTATTGTTCCATATGTAAAAAAAATAAAATAAATATTAAAATGTTTAAAATGGTTATAACAATAAATAAATACAACCACAACATATGATATAGTGGGCGATGTGTTTGACCTTATTTTCCTACATCCAAGCTTTCTGCTTAATAAGGCGATTTCGGCTTTGTGTACGATACGCAGGGAGAAGCCGAGGTTTGGTGCCTGGGTGGTAGAGTGGTAGAGTGACAGCATCCAATAAACATTGCCGACAAAATAAAGTTTGTGTTTGGCGCCTATTATCTACGCTGTGTACGAGTATAGTTTTCAGAATTCACGCACTTCCATTAATTATATGTACCAAGTTTTCAAATGTGCGATGTGCGATGTGCGATGTGCGTAAAAGCTTTTATGTCCAAATGCCAAGAACCTTCGCAAGCGTTCTGAGAGATGCTGTATACTCGCAAACGTTTACAATGTAGGTCGCTTGAGTTTTACTTACTTCACCATTCACTTTTTAAGTTTTCCCTTCCTGGTAATGGCTAACGTTTCTAGAGGCTTTTCTTGATGTTTGTGACTTTTGTTGTTTTTATATTGGCATTGTTTAATAATGCCAGTCCTGCGTTACGTTATGTAGTGTAGTTGTCGGCAATGCAAGTAACATCTTCTATTTGTACTGGCGCTTAATTCCCGTATTAGCGCTTAACTGTTTGCAGAATACACTTTCTTACTGTTGTTGTTATTGTTTTGTGTGCCTCAAAATTTCTCGATGTTATTCAATATGACTACGAGTATCTTATCAAATCACTAGCAACTCAACTAATTTCAATAACAACATCAGTGGCGCCATGACAATTGCTGCCTAGCCTTGTTTATGCTCCTTTTATGTTCAATTACTGTTTAAAATTATTTTTTATTTAGAACTTTAAAACTTATTTCAAAAAAAAATTTGGCTTTGTTTTTGCAATTCTGCAATACAATTCACACAGATAATTACGGGACTCGCTATCTATATTGTCGGCCTAGTAATAAAAAGACAGCAATTTTATTTTTTCAATGCATATACATTTGCATAAATTCAAACTATTTGTCATAGTAATCCATTCCTCTTGAAATAACTCCGAAATCTAGATTTTAAACGTATTAATGGTAACTTCTTCTGGAAAAATTCGTTCTTAACCCAGTTTGGTGGAAGAATTTGCTGCTACACCTAGATTTTAAACGTATTAAGGGATACTTCTTCCGGAAAAATTGGTTCTCAACCCAGCTTGTTGAAAGAATTTGGTACTATTTATTAATACAAACCATTCCTCTTAAAATAACTCCAACACCTAGATTTTAGACGTATTAAGGGTTACTTCTTCCGGTAAAATTCGTTCTTAACCCAGTTTGATGAAAGAATTTGATACTATTTATTATTGCAATCAATGCATCTTGAAATAGCTCCAAAATCTAGATTTTATAGATATCAACGGTTTTCTCTTTCAGTAAATTTTGGCTTTAGTGTACAGGAACAAGAAATCATTGATTCGCCAGTTAAGACAGTATAACGAAAACTCATTAACTCTACATCATAAGTTCTCAAAAGGGTACATGTTTGGTCGAGTGTGTGAAAATTTGTATGATTATGGTAAAGAATTTTAAGTGATGGAATCTTTGGCAGTAGACTTTCCTCATTTATATCATTTGATATTAAATAATATGATACAAATAATACAAAAAATTCTCTAGCCTTTGAAATTGACCGTTCTACATTGCCTTAATATGTGTCATCCTACAACTGGTTAAAAGTTATAATATTTCCGATATAAGATGTCATGAGAGGTGACAAAAATCCATTAGGCACCAACCCGTACAGCTTTGGAGTAAAGAGGACAGTAAGTAGGTGTCACTGGTGTAAATCTGGTGTCACAAAATACGGGTACCCACAACACTTTATTGTGATAGTATTTGGGTTGGTCGTAGTACTAGTACTACTACTCTTTGTGGAGTTGTATTTCCTTATCATCCTTATTTTATATATGCTAGCAGAGGCAATGTCGCGCAAGTGCTCATTGTACACTACGATTTTGAACAAGAAGTGATTTTAAACGACCTACGTAAAACTCTACCATAAGCGAAAGAACATCCACTGTCAAGCTTGTTATACCACAGTCAAATGTAATAGTAAAAATATGACACTTTAACGCTAAGAGCCATTCTATGCAGTCAACACAATCAGCATGATATTTTAAGATGACCAGCAAACCAATTTTCAACAATTGATACAAATTGATACGAATTGAATAAACATAAAAAGTAGAGAGTGAACATTATTCGCATATTAAGAGCCGATATGCAATAAGTAATGGTTTCTTTAACCACTAGTTAAATCAACTGGCCACCATTAATAGATTACATTTATATAAATTTTAACTAGAGAATGTATAGTTAAAGATGCAAAAAAAAATTGTCAACCAAACAATTTTCATTTGTTAACCACTGATTTGTGAAATTTTCATAAAAATTTTAAACTCATTTAATATTGGTTTTCAATTTTATATGCATTTTAGAAATTGCAGTTGAAGCTCTGAAACCATTTCAACAAATAGAATAATCTCGATTTTCTTGTGATGTGTTTTAGTGTTTGTTTTTTTCAAAACCAATTTTCTTCTCATTTTTGGTAAAATATATCATTCTTAAATTTATTTAGTAGTTCCTACGGAATAAATAAAGTGTTTTCAAAAATGAAAAAGCTGGTCGTTTAAATAAGAAAAAAAAACAAAACAGCGCTAACCAGTCAATTAGTGTGATAACTGTAGAACTGTATTGCTGGATTAATTTTCGGTAAACAATGGTTTACTAACAAATGTTATGAAAATAGTGATTGCATACAAATATTTAATCACTGATGCTTAACAAGTGGTTAAACATAATTTATGCTAACATAACCATTGATTTAACCAAAAGTTAAAAAACTATGTATTCAATTCCAGTACAATAATAGAATTTATATAATTCCATTATCAGAACAAATAATTTGTATTTATATAATAATTCTGTTAAAATTTGCAACATATTTAATTTAAACTAGTCTACGATGGTAACACCAACATTCGCTGCCTTACCGACATAATTTACTATTTCCCTCAATTTACCATCAATCAGAAACAACTTTTTTGTCTTCATATATATTGATATATATGCAAAATATGATTAGTACACACTAAGCTATTTTATTAAATGTGTCTTGAAAATAGAGATATAGTTATAAATCAGTAAATTTGTTATCGTTTATGAACTTCGTATTAATATAAAACAAATTCCGTCTGTCTGTCCGTAATTCTAGAATAACATGCTTTTCAATTAAAATATCAAATAATAATCTAAACAAATATTTAACCACTTTTTATTTTCGATTTAGAAAAAATGTTGTACCTATATAATGAATTAAATTAAATTGTTTATATTAAATTGAATCAAAATGTACTAGTGACGTAAGAATGTTTGCGGATTCCGTAACGTAATGCAAATGTAATAACGTAAGAAAATACAACACTTAATAAATTTCATTTGTCAACGTAAATTAGTTTTGACGTTTCTTTGGACATTTTCTTTTTCATACCACTGGCAAAAAGGAATTATAAGGTCGTACTGGCCGTTTTGTGGTAACATTTGGACGAAAGTTGCTAAATTAATTTATATTTAACAGTAAAAGAAATTTTAAGTAAAATGATCACTGCTGTGTCGCGCACCTACTTACGTGCCAGTACCCAAGCAGTATGTAATAGCTTAAAACCCGCTGTTATTGCAACAACGCAAGGTAAGAAGACAAATGCCACCGTCACTGAGGACAAGACAGCACCTTGTGCCAATACCAAAGCTACTGTTGGACTTCAAAGTAAATATTGTCATTATTATTTTTTACAACCGTTGTCTGCTTAAGTTAAAACTGATATCAAATCATTGTCGGTTTTACATTTACTTTAATATAAACATTGTTAATTATGTAATTTTTTAAGGTTATACATTCTAACTGAAGTGAACTATTTGTTAGCAGAAAAATGAATTAAGTATTCAATTCGGGTAAATTTAATGTTTTGTTTACATATTGTTAGTTTGAACAATACTTATAACGGTAAAATTACTATTAGCTAAAAATTTAAAAATAAAAAATAATATCTGCTAATCAGAAATTGCATTTTGCACTTTCATAACTGTCAACTTGCGTATACAAAATGTTTTATCAGTTGAATTACATAAATATTTTGCATTTTAAATGATGTAGGATTTTGCTTCTTTAATTATGTATATACAGCGAACAAAGTGTAGTGTAAAGCAATACAAATTTTTCTCAAGAAAATTGTTTACAACTATGAAATACATGGCATAGTAAATATGTATATGTGTTTATGTGTATCCTTTGTTATATATAAGTTATGTGAAAATATTAAATAAAAATAGAAATCAATCCTGCAATAAAATTATTTCTTAATATTTTTAGCAACTCAGCAAGTTCGTTGTTTGCACAGTGATTTGCAAGTTCCAGACTTCTCTCCTTACCGTCGCGACTCTGTGAATAATGCAAAACGCAAGAATGATTCTGAAGAAAGTCGCAAAGCCTTTTCCTATATGATGGTGGGTGGAGCTGCAGTGGGTACTGCTTATGCTGCCAAAGGTCTCGTAAATGCTTTTGTAGGCTCAATGAGTGCATCAGCTGATGTATTGGCTATGGCAAAAATTGAAATTAAATTATCAGATATTCCTGAAGGAAAATCTGTGACTTTCAAATGGCGTGGAAAGCCTCTTTTTATTCGCCATCGTTCGGAAGGTGAAATATCCACTGAACGCAACGTACCAGTATCTTCATTACGTGATCCAGAAAGTGATGATGTAAGTGATTTTATGTGCACTACAATTATTCTATTTAAAATAATTTTATTAATTATTTTCAGCAACGTGTTAAAAAACCTGAATGGTTGGTTGTCATTGGTGTCTGCACACATTTAGGTTGTGTACCAATTGCCAATGCTGGAGATTTTGGTGGTTATTATTGTCCTTGTCACGGCTCACATTATGATGCATCTGGTCGCATACGGAAAGGTCCAGCCCCTCTGAATTTAGAAGTACCAGCATATGAATTCCCTGATGAAGGCACTTTAGTCGTTGGTTAAGTGTTAAAATAAATATGTAGTAAAATATATAGTCAACTGCAAACAAAAACGAGGAAAACCATTTACTAAAAATTACGAATATATGAGAGACTATGTTCTTTAAATAATATTTTTTATTTTATTCCTCAATTATTAATTAAATCCAAATCTGATATTTCGAAGAAAAAATACTTTGAATGTGTTTGATGTAGTGTCACTACATTTTCTGTTAACTTGTTAAAGTCTACAATATATTCAAAATTAAAGTAAACATACACAAAATAGTTTTCTGAATCCGCAAATAAAAACATTACTTTTACATTAATTGTAAAAATAATTCGTAATAAATACGGTTGAATTTAATTAAAAATTAATATCTTCTCAATACTATTTCAATAAAGACTTATCTCAATGAGTGTTAGCAACTCCTGCAGCAAATTTATGATGCGGTTAAAGGAACTTATTGTCACTCCGTTCGACACTTAGTTGATTTTCTGAAATGTTCTTAACTTTTTAAGTGGCCCCAACATAAAATTCATTGAGCTTAGTTAGCAACGCAAAGTGCAGGTTTTCTTTTTAATTTGTCTAAATATGATAACGATCAATCCAACTAAGTACTCTGCAGTAATTTGTTGGGTTGATTTAAAAAACTGTGACACTTCAACTATTAGAATAGATTCTCAAATCACAGTAACAATTCAACTATTCAACGAATTCAGTACAGCTCATATTCGCTGGGTTTGTGTAACTCCTAACAATAAAATAGTTGAGTCAGAAAACATGGGCTTTAAATATTGTTTATATGTATATGGTTCTTTGAACAGTCATTTCTGTACTTTAAATATTAAGTAATGATGTGTGTTCCTTTATATGGATTAGTGATTATCCATGTATCATCCTTATACACCTTATTTTTGTGCAAGTGTTGCAGTGCTACTGTAGTTTTCCCAATGTTTGAATCCAATCGGGTAGTTATAGTTATTACACATTCTGATACGACTAAATCAACTTCAAATTAGCCTTAATTAAGTTTACCCGAGTATATAATGTAATCATCGCAACTTCTAATTAGATTTTTAGTGCTGTTAATTTAAGTCTCTCACACTATCAGTGGTGATAGTTCGATGATGTCGATCTCGACTGTAGCAGATGATTGACCCACAATAACCTTAATTTCGTGACTGAATTGCTATATTAAATAACAAACAAGATCGTTGTAAAAATAGTGCTAGTCATATTTTACCAATACAGAATGTTATAGAATGGATGTCACACTAATTGCTCGATCGCTAGACTTGTAGTTGTATAAGCAGGGCTCGTCGACAAAAGAGTGAGTTCAGATATGTTTGGACTTTTTAAGAAGATAAATAAACCTCATAAAATATTTTATCCAAAATCCTTGTTCAACAAAATATTACAAATATTGTCTGTTCTCGTCTGAGAGTGCATCAAATCTAACCGGGAATTAAGGAAGTGAAGAAAAAAGTGGACCAATACATTTTAATGCAGCTTTTTGTTTTTTTTTTTTGTAGTAGGTGGAAAGCATCGAAAGTCACAGTGTGAGACTTGAACCCACTAAAACCACCTCTTAGGAATGGATGGAGAAGATTTCCACAGCATTGAGGAAACTTCATTTCAATAATCATGGGAGAGAGATGAGAGTAAATAGACTTAATACCTAGTGAACTAGGTTCATCTAAGCAAATGCATGAGTTAAGGAGAATGCAGCTAATTTGGTAGCATTAATATATACAGCAGTATCATTAGCAGTTTCGATCAAAAAGGGAAAAAATTTATTCTTATATGTGGCTATTGATGTTCAACTATTTTAAATATATTTATATATATATATCGGCAAATTATTTGACGGAACAGTATTGTTTCTGGTACTGAAGGCCTCTGTCAAAATAAAATAAGAACAAAAATATAAAAAAAATTTAATACAATAAAATATATATATGATACATAAAGTTTCAATATTATTTACAAAATAGAATTAATAAAAATATAGTATATATTTTTTTTTACAATACCGACAAATTTTTAGTTTTTTATGATATTTAAATATTTATTGAAATAAAATATATAGTAAAATTATACTAATTATATATATTCCACAATCTGGATCGATTGTAAAGTAAAATCAATGTAAAATGTTTAAGACCTTATCAAGATTAAAGGAAAGTATTTAATGTAAATTGTGAAGCCAGTTAAGTGAAATTTGAAATTTCTCATCTAAAACCAATTTGATTTATTAAATTGAAACAAAACTAAAGAAACAAATAAATATATTATTTAGTATATGTTTTTTATTTATTGTTTTAACAACCAAATTGTATTGGTGTATACGTATATTTTTAAAGGGGCTAATAGGTCAACGCTATTTAATACACAACTTTTTAAGTTAGCTGTAAAATATATATTTTATTATTCCCGACATTTTAACTATTGTCTTTACATGATTTAAGATAATTGTAGACTATAGTCAAAATATCGTTGACAATAAAATATATTTTTTTAAACAAATTAAAAAAATTGTGTATTATTTAATATTGAACGTTCAATTAGCTCGTCAAAATTATATAAATATTTTTTTTTAAATATTTATTTTAGAATATTTTGGAGAAAAAATTTTTCGTTTTTTTTTGTTTTCTTATTCATTAAACTCTAAATAATACGTTAACACTAAAAGTTAACGTGTAAACAGTTTAACTTTTTTTTGGTAAAAATTACTAACATACTTAAGGTAAGCCGCAATCATGTTATAATATGCTAAATAATAATCGTGAAACACCCAAACAAATTGTTTATCGTTTTTCTTTTGTTTTCTTTATTAAGCTCTTAAAGTTAAGGTGTAAACAGTTCAACTTTTTTTGTGGTAGAAAATGCTGACTTACGTTAAATAAGCCGAACTCTTGCTATAAAACAGGGTTGTCCACAGTACGGCACGCGGATCGCATGTGGCATGTTTTTAATCTACTACAATTACGCAAATTTTCTTTTGGTGACTTGTAAAACCACATTATTTTATTCTTATGGTATACCAAATAAATGAATTTAAATTGATAAATTACTAAAACTAAATTAAACATTATAACAGTATTTTTATATTTGTCGAAAACAGCTATGAACGTATGTATGTATTTGTTTCTGCACCCCTTCAATCTGTACAATGATTTGTATTTGCCCGTGATCGCATCTGATCTGGACAGCCATGCTATAACATTTTAAATAATAATTATGAAGTACCCTAACACTAGATTTTGTTGGAGTCATATTAATTAGCGTATTGTTTATCACCATATTTGTTGTTGCTTGTCTACAAGGGTTCTTTTTTTTATTGAAAACAACAGATAAGCCGAAGTTCTGCTAAACATGTTAAATAAGAATTGTGAAGAACCGTAATACTAGATTTTATTGGAGCTATATTATTTGGCCTATTAAATAATTGTGTATCACCACATTTGAAATCATACTAAATAAGAAATGCTAAATAATGCTAAATAAGAAATGTGAAGAACCCTAATTGGATTTTAGATTTTATTGGAGCTATATTATTTGGCCTATTAAATAGTTGTCTATCACTCCTATTTGCAGTCATGCTAAACATGCTAAATAATAATTGTGACGCACCCTAATACTAGATTGTATTGGAGCTATATTATTTGGAATATTAAATAATTGATTATCACCATATTTGTTATTGCTTTTAACACAGATATTTTTTATTAAAATCAACAATAAATATAATAATCGACTATCATTTAACAGAGTCTACGTAACATCGCCAAGTCTACGTACAAGTCATACGTAAGTCGTATTTAAATGATAAGATTCAATAAAACTGACAAGTCAAAAAAAAATATTTAGTATATCTATTTATAGTTATATGAAAAAAATTCTAAATGTGTCAAAATTGCATATATATGAAATATATTTTATTTGTTGTGTATTCAATATATAAAAATTTATTGTCAATGAAGATCTTCCGCTACATCACAAATTTTGTTGCGATTTTATAGGTTTGCATGAATTTTACTATTAACAACTCTGTCGTCAGTTTGAAGTTTTTGTTTTTATTATGCCATATGTTTATTGTTAGTTGCTTCTTAAAGTTGAGAGATAGTAAATTTAAACGCAGTTAGGAATTCGGTGTAATTGGTGGCTGGAAATATGATGGTCGAATAAATAATTTACATTAAAGTACAAATGTATCGGCATTTGTACAACAATAAAACATATACTCCAACATAAACAGCGGTTTTAATATAATTAATAAACTGGAACATCATTCATTAAAATTTAAAATTATAAGCATTTTTCAACGAAACGAAACAGAGCATTCCTATACATTTACGTATCGCCGCATAGGTAGGTGTTTGCATATTGACTGATTTATGATAGTAAATTCAAAATGAACAAAATGTTATTTTAGAAAATGAAAATTTAACATTCTGCTGTGAATAAAAATAAAAATATATTTAAATAATAATAAATTTAATGTAATGTTTAAATAATGTTTTTGGAATTCTCAAAAGCGAAAATCAACAGTGAATATTAATTGGTGCCGAAACAGAAACCACAATAAAATTGCGTCATTAAAACAAAACCGAATAAAACAAAGCAAAAAGCGGGAAAAGAATTTTGGAGAATTGAAAAATTGAAAAATTGAAAAAATCAAACATTTGTAGGAAAGTTTAATATCAGTAAATTATTGACGTAGCTGCAGTTTTCTGCTGCTTTCAACTAATTGGAAAAATGTCGACCGCTTTTCTCACCGCAATTGCCGTAATATTTTGCATCTTATTTCGAATTTTAAATGTAAACAGTCAACCATTGCGCCCAAGTGTTTGGTGTTTGGATCCACAATTCTTGGACTGCATCTTTAAGATAGCTCCAGTATTGCGTGAACCGTAAGTTTTTAAAAAATATAATATTATAACTAGTAAATTTATATATAAAATAGAAGATAATGCATAAGCTTTACGTTTCTGTTGTTGTGAAACAAAAATTCTATTCAAAAATATACAAAAATGCAAATGTATAATATTACTATTTTAATAAATTTATTTTACAATAATCAGTAAAACTTTTAAACAATTAGTAACACTATACATATTACCAAGTTAAATAAAGTGTCATATACCGGCTGAGGACTATATAAGTCATTTCCGTCAGTGCGAAGATAAAACATGGTATATGTAATGGTTTTATAATATACCTAATAAAAATTAGTACTAGTAATAGTTATGTATTAGGCTTTTCCCATTTTTATAACAAAAAGTTTCAATTAAAGAGTTCAAAGTTATTTGCTTAGAAAAAACTTTTTTTAAAAAAAAATATATTTTTTTATTTTATTTTGCCTTGTGTAAAGCAATTAATATAGGACGTAATTTATGAAATGATTTAATTCATACTAAATACAATATGAATTAATATTTTAGTATTTATTTTGCTTTAAGTATATATGACTTTTTTTTTTTATTTCAACATTAATTGTGAAGTTATTGTTGGTGTCGTAACCCACTGGGATCTGTTTGCTGATTCCCTTTGGGGGTGGTAAACGGCACTTGGCCATCGTGGTTGGCGAGTAGCTTCTTGGAACCTTAATTGTGAAGTGCGTACCAGTGTGATAAAATTTTACTATAATTACACACAAAAAATAATGATTTATTATTTGAAAACTTTTGTTTTAGTAAATAAAAAGCTGTGGTGCTTTTATAATCCCTTTTAAGAGTATTGAACGGCACTTGAACCTAGACCCAAAAACTCCTAGAACCTAAACAGTTATGATTAATTGCGTTAGTATTGGCTATTGATAAAATACTCTTAACAATGATTTAGTAAAGGGTAAATAATAAAATCAATAAGTACCTAAGTTAGGTTATGCTACTACTACTACTACTACTGTTGTCCTCTTCTCCTCATGCCTGTGCCATAGATCTAAATCTAACTCTATTGAGTGCTTCGTGGCATATATCGCTCCAGTTATAATTTGCATTAATAAGGTCTCTGTCTATGTTAGAGGTTATGCTGGCAGACCAAAAAAGCCACGCGTAGACCATTAAAGTCCATTGCGATACCAGATTAGAGTCTTATTTCTAACGATAGTGTGTACTCCTAGAATGCGCGTGTTATTAGCGAATTGTGTTAAGAGTTCAATAATAACATCAGATATGTGCTGCAGTCCTGTAAAAATGACAGTCCTCAAGTATTTTTGTTGAGTTCTCGAGAGAGCGGGGCAGCTACAGAGGGTACAATGAGTATCCTAACAATGAAGCAATACAATTCCAAAAAGATTCACTATATTAAACAGCAGTTGACCAGTGTACCGGAATGAGTACTGAACAAAAAATTTAATATCTATAAAATAAATTTGTTATAATAAAATATTAAATAAATTTATGCTAATTAAAAGCTAGTGAATGTTAAAATATGATATTATTAAATACATGTATAGGTATGACATCATTTCTTATTTTATATTTTATCTCTAAAACCAATACTGTTTAGCTAAAAATCAAAAATTAAATAAAGTTTATATATACACAAAAATTTTTGAGTCAAATTCTTCTATGTGAAAATCTTATATTAAAAAAAATTGAACGCAAACTTAAACAGAGCACTGAAAAGCTAATGCAGCTAATTAGATATAGTAACATTCATAAAGAGAGAAGAGGTTTTAAAAACGGTCGAATCTACGTTCCGGAGCCACTCGTCCAGTTCGACAACCAGGAGTCAGTCATTTAACACTGCCAAAAGGGACAACGCAAACAAATCCCTGCAGGCTACAACAACATTCATAGTGTATTGAGATTAGAAACAGAAATACTATAAGACAGAGATACATATATCTTTAAAATAAAAATCTACAGAACAAATATTCACAATCGCATGCTTCACTGACGGCTCGCTTACGGAGGAAGGTGTCGGAGTGGGAATAGTTGGACCAGGCAAGAAGCGCTGGGGAAAATAACTAGCATCTTCGAAGCAGAAATTTTCTCATCAATATTAAACAGAATTACCAGGGTAAAAATAACGCACAACTGACAGACAGCCAAGGGGGCGATCAAAGCAGTAAAATCGCATCAGGTGACCTCAAGACTGGTGTTAGACTACCTTGACATACTGGGACATACTGATGTACGTGAAAACAAATACGCGGAGAAACTTGCCAGGAAAGGGACAGCCACACCGATGATGGGTCTAGAATCATTTTGTGGACTAGGACCTAGTATGCTCCTTTCTCTCATAAAAATAAAGGAGAACCGGAATAAAGAGGATTACTGGGATAATATACCAGGATTAAAACAATCCAAATCACTTGTTAGTACCTATGGTATAACAATAAGAGATACCAGGATTGCATGAACTTATCAAAACATCACAGGAATCCTAACAGGGCACTGTAAACTAAAACACCACCTTTCAAGACTGTGTATACTTACGGATGCAAGCTGTAGATTTTGTGAAGAGAATGAGGAGTCGGTCATACATGTTTTGTTAGAATATTCTTAATACACATATAGAATAGACTACTGGAAATATATATACTTAAGAAAGAGGCAATAAAACTCTTTAAAGTAGGTTATACTACTTTTTTTAACGCAACAGGTCTTAGGAAACTACTCTAAACCCAGAAGGGGGCACAAAGACCCTACGGTGGCAGTGCCACATCCTCTAACAATAATAATAAAATATGCAGAAATATAAAAAATGTAATGTTATATATATATATAATAAAAGGTAAGAGATATAATATAATATGAGTCAAAGGAAATTTTCCGATATAAAGTAATACATTCTACACCCATTTACACAAGTCTGTTTTATTCAATAACAGACAAAACCAGCACATTGCAAGTAGTGAAATTAAAAGCAGAGCACTGAAATTAGAAACTACTAAAAACTGCTATAACGCAGAATATTTAATAAGAATTATATTCAAAACTACAATTACATTCTTGGAAAATAATATATACAGATTATACAGATGGGTTAAAGAAATTCATCCGAAGTAATGCAATACATTCCCTATCCATTCCATTAAAACTGTTTTATTCAATAACAGACAATTCAATCGAATTTACATATAATTAAAATAAATATGGTCATCTATTGATTGCATTTGTGGAACCATAACCATTGCTTGTCCTTGACAGAAAGTTTATTGAATTCTATATAATCCAATTAATTTTATTTGAAGTTTTGACTCATCAATAACACAGAAATATATAGATATATGTACGTACATATGTATATACGATAAAATCATTTAATAGCCGAGTATAAATAGTTGATTACGTACGTTTCGATATTTGTATCAATTGTATGTTATCTTTTCATAAAAAAAACCATAAAATTACATAATAATTAAAAATTTTGTTGAACGTTTCTAATAATTAAACTTTTCTTATATTTAAAACAATAACCAACAAAATAAATAAATACATACTAAACACTTTTTAAAAGAGACAACGGTGATATAAACTTTATTAAAGCTTTTTTCTAATTATTACAGAACCCCAATAGAAAAATGCTTAATACAGGAAATATTGATTAGTTTTAAGTTATCGTCCTGACACAAAACAGTATGGGGGTAGAGATTTATTATGCCCGTTTTAGTTAATTAATTTTATATACTATATTCAATTTTTTGTTGTAACGTACTTTATTGAGTTTTAGTGGAAATTTTTGTAAAAAATATTGACAATGTGTGCAGAGAGTTGTAGAAGACCTCCTCGTCATAAGACTTCATAAATTCGATAAACTAAATATTTTTGAAAAAGATTTTTCGAACAGTGAACTACAAGAACAAAAATTTATTTTATATTATTTTAATTAATTGAATTTTTGGCTGACCATACAGCTGTTTCGAGTATTGCCAAATACCCATCATCAATGGTCTTGGAAATAATTCTTGTATTTAATTATTTGTAAATAATTTTTTGTCACTGCAAGTACCAAGAATCAAACTCGTGCCCTGCCAAATTTTTAGCTCAGAGTCAGTGCTCCTTCAACAACTGACCTAAAGCCGTACTTGACTTTTATATTCGCACATTTTTCTGTAGTTTTGTTACTTAGTTGCGAAAGTTTTATTGACAAATTCACTTGCTGTGTTTGTATTAAAACGAAATCATAAACCAGTTGTAGAATGAATTAATTAATTATATTTTTTAATTGTTAAATTTCAATACTATTCAGTTTGTAGAGGCATTATTTGTTGTATAATACTGAGAAATTCATGCTAATATTACTCCACGAGTCGCACGGGCGAGACCAATATTTTGTGAATATAAGTTGTAATTTAACGTCAATTTTTTCAGACGGAAGTGACTATTATATTTAATAGAAACTAGTATATTTCATAAAGAGGTCCTTTACAAATCCTTTACAAAAACATAGAAATTGATTAATAGATTCCACCTCCTACTCATTTAAATACATAAACTACAGGTTTGTCAAAACTTTACATACCTCTCGTTCATTTTATAACTTATATGAGCCATAGGGTTCCAATGACGTCACATTCTTAACAAATAAACTACAAATCTGTAAAACTAGTAAAGGTTTCTACACTTTTATAGATTCGGAAATATCAATGAAAAGCGCAAATAGTAACTGGACACATAGTGATAAAAAAATTTCTTCCTAATGGAACAATATTTTAGAAATGTGTTCAGCTCCTTGCTTATACCTACGACATCAACATTATTGGGCGCAGCAAGATTGATGTAATACCTGCCTTTGCGGTTATCGACAAGGAATCTGCAAAGATGGGCTTAGCCTAGTGGTTGGCGATTATATTTTTAAAACTGTCAAGGATTTACCTTGTCACCGCTATAACGAACAACAGTTACCGAGAGAAAAGTTCTTCGTGAGATCTTTGGTCCTCTACGAATTGGCGACAATTACCGCATCGGAATTAACCACGAACTATACGAACTTTATCACGACATAGATGTGATTCAATAAATTATCATCCAGTGGCTGTGGTGTTTTGGTTATCTTGTGAGAATAGATGCTACAACGTAGGAGGCATTTGAAGCGGTAGTTGATGGAAGAAGGGGTAGAGGTAAGACCGTCTGTTTGGTGCAGTGGTAAAGTTGAGTTAGGACTGATTGGACTTGATGTACAAGTCTGGATTTGATGCACACGCATACATGAATGAACGAATGCATTGTTTGGAGTTGAATGCAACTAATTGGAAACAGGTTCTCAAGAAAGGGGACTTAAGTCGCCGCCGTGCATGAGCTGGGTCTTCCTCACAGCTGTGACGGATTTTGCTTTTCCATTATAAAATTTTTAGGAATATATATCCAAAAAGCTTGCTAGAGAGCCTTTTTGATGTTGCCTTTAAGATTAAAGTGGTGGTGCTCCGTAATTCTTTGACCGAAAAATGTCGACCATATAATTAGGAATACGACCTTTTCTTTCCTATATTTATTAAAAATATAATTTTTTAAAATAGTAAAATCAAAATTTTATTCAATTTTTTTTAAATATTACTAAAAGCTCAAGTTATGCAATACTAGTAAAACATATTATTTAAACATATTCAGAAATGTTCAATTAAGCAATTGTAGATTTTTTCTAAAGTCAATTGCACAAGTAAAAATGTTTATTTTTAATTAATTTTCATAATTTACATATAACTTTTATTCATTTTCAGTTATGTACCCACACGCCTCTGGGGATTCAGTGGCCATGTACAAACTGTTTTGCACAGCATTGTTGGACGCGTTAAGTGCCCTTGGCCATTAGGCGACCGGATATATTTATCACTATTTGATGGTTCCACACTAACGTATGACCTATATCAGCCATTGGTAGAGGGTGAAGGTAAGCAAAAATTGATTTTTTTACGTATGCTCGTACGATTGCATGTATGATTGTCCCTGCAGCTTGAAACTAAAAATACTAATAAAATACTTCATCAGATACACAATAAAATAAATTTCAATACAAGTGAAAAGATAGTTATTATATCAGTTATTGTAATAACTTCTGTATTATTGATACACGGAAAAACAAAAAAAAAATTAACAAATAGAAAATATATAAAAGCGATGAAGGGATATAATTCGTGTAACTCATGGTTTATAGGAAAGTTCTTAGGGCTGTAGAAAAATGTCACCAGATTTGATAGTTGCTTGCAAAGGATCGAAGCTATTCTTAATAAAAAAAAAATAAAATACTATGATGAACTATGTCTGCGAAAATGAAGTAGAATCGCAGATATTTCTAGCAACTTCGAACTTTTGTTAGTTCGAACTATCAATTTCTGATTTTTGCTGAATAATAGTAATTATATATTACTAATATAGTTGCAGTTAGGTTAAGTTAGGTTATACCGGCGATCCACCTAGTGGATCCACCTAGGCCTATTGGCTCATTGTGTTACCGTGTATATAGGAAAAGCACATGGTCTAAAACCACCTAGAACCTTTAGCGAAGCATAAGATGTTATTTAGTGTCAGGTTCTGTATTTTGTCCAGATTCTCAAGAAAGAGGGCTTCTAAAGTATTAAGTCGCCGCCGTGCATGAGCTGGGTCTTCCTCACAGCTGCGACAGATTTAATTGAAAGGGAGATCTAATCTTCTAGCATGGTGCCCTAGTTTACAGTGACCTGTAAGTATATGTAAGTATGTATACTGATATCTCTATCTCTAGGATATATTAGGTTTGTCAAGATTTTTGTAATGTATGGAACGAAACGTCACAGTTCACATTAAAATATATCTAAATTTGTGTAACAGATAAAACAAAACGACATAGACTACATAAAATGCATATATTCTAGATCAGCTCGACCCGGATCAGTGACTAGAGTTTCAGTACAAGCTACTACATCAATTTTTGAACTATTCGTTTGAAAGTTTAGACCTTGATCATTTGTCATATTGGACCAATATGTTATGTAACTGTCACATAAACTGGATATAGGTGCTTTCCATTTTTTATAAAGATATTTAAAAGCAACTTTGTGCAGAATGTACTGTATATTTGTATAAGAGAATATAAAAAAATTTGAATCATACCGCTTCAGATTTAGATATAGCTGTCATATAAACATTCTAAATTATATACTTTAAATTTAGAATATAAGTATAGTTTATTAGTTTATTATTATTAAGATATAGCTTACATTTAAATCGACGATTATGGAACATGGAAAGGTTTCCTTTTATTTTTGATTGTGATCGCTTCTATTTTAAAATTTAGGTATCTGTTCTAGAAGAGAATATTCGAGATAAAAGTAATACCACTTGGTTCAGATTTGGTTATAGTTATATTACAAAAGGTTATTTCTGATAAATCTTATTCTATATTGTATAGTATGTGCTGCTATCCACATTAAAGGCTCCTCCAATTTTAAAAACTGTTGAAATATAAGTGTGAACAATATTATATTTTATTATATATTATTATATTATATTATATTATTATATTAAAATATTATTATATTATATTATATTATATATTATATTATATTATATTATATTATATTATAATATTATATATTATATTATATATTATTTATAATATTATATATTATATTATATATTATTATAATATTATATATTATATTATATATTATTATAATATTATATATTATATTATATATTATTATAATATTTATATTATATTATATATTATTATAATATTATATATTATATTATATATTATTATAATATTATATATTATATTATATATTATTATAATATTATATATTATATTATATATTATTATAATATTATATATTATATTATATATTATTATAATATTATATATTATATTATATATATTATATTATATTATGTTATATTATATTATATTATATTATATTATATTATATTATATTATATTATATTATATTTTATATATATCATATAAATGAAACTTCAATGTAGATTCAAAACTCTGTATAAAGAGTAAATAAGCTTCGGTAAAGCCAAAGCTAACAGCTTTACTCACTTTTTTTGTTTTAATTTCCTGTATTCTCTTGCCGATCATTTCTCCCTATAACATTTCTTGAGTTAAAGCTAAAGCATTAAATCGTACACATTTATTAAACCAGCACAGATATAACTGTCAATTTGCAATTAATAAAGTTACAGCATCCTTTGTGTACTCCATATAAATAACTTATTATTCTGATTCGAATATACTGAAATCACACATAAGACACTATTCGTTACCCGAAATTCCTGCGCGCCCAACAAATCAAGAATTGAATTTGATTTGCTAAATTGTGCTAAATTGCTGCTTACAAATCCTATAAATTTTCACTATTCGCAGGAAGGCATATCAAGCCTGAGGATGCATCAAAAGTCTCGAGGATCATGCATTGATCGTTGCCCAACTACATGACTGACTATCTATATTTATGTATATTATGGTTGGTTTATTCGAGTTGGTGTGTGAATCAGAAGCCTCTACTCTGCTTGTGGATCGACCTGTAAGTGTGTCACTAGGAATGTAAATGATTTTGATGTTTATCTTTAAAGCTATAGATGCATGAGTCCTTTAAGAGTGGTGTTTGAAAAGTTTTACGCAAAATATAAAAAATAATGTCAATTTTTTTTTAACATTTACGATTTAGTAGCAAAGCTACAATTTTATGAATTCCTCTGAGCAATGTATGGCGTTAAGGTGTTCCAATATATTAATTTATGTGAGATTTGCGGAATTTGTGAATTTTTAGCATTATAATGTCACATAGTACGTTCCAATTATTGTTCGATCATTTGTGAATTAGTTGCTCAGCAATATTTCCTTGCCGATTTAAGAAACAGTGCTCATTTATTGTCTTCTTAACTATTTAGTTTTTTTCCAATCCAACTATTTGATTTTACATTGATCAGCAGATGCTGTGCAAAAAGTCCACCTCATTTTGTTTTGACCGTCTTGGAACTGTTTAAGCTATTGCATTTTAGGTACATGGCCAGCGAATACGACAAACAACGTGCGGAAACCTTCTTCATGTCTAAAGTTTTAAGCAAATTTTTAAAAATTCGATCAAAGGAAACACCTATAGCGTCAGCAAAATATTTTGTGTAGATGTCCAGTATTCATGCTAGGGTATAAATGGTTTTGCAAATATAGAATGTACTCAGATTAGAGTGTATGGTATTTAATATCTATCGTTGTGCCAAATATATTTACTCCAAAACATTAGCAAGACTAATATAAAATCTGAGTACTTCTGTAAATTCTAATTGATTGCAATAATAACGTATATCTATATCGTATATATAATATCTTATTGCTATATATTATGTATATTCAAATTCTAAATATTTGTACTTATGATTTTTCAAATGAAAGTGATTTTTAATATTAATGGTTTTATTTACAGACGATGTTACAGTAGCTATTTGTCCTGGTATTGGTAATTCATCTGAGAGTGTGTATATTCGGACATTTGTTCATTATGCGCAATGTCATGGCTATCGTTGCGCTGTACTCAATCATATAGGAGCTCTGCCTAGTGTACAAGTAACATCTTCTCGAATATTTACTTATGGTAAATATTTTCAATATATACACCTCATACATACATAATAAATTTTATTTTAAATTGCAGGTCATACTGAAGATTTCGCTGAAATGGTTACTAATCTTCACAAAAAGTATCCATTGAGCAATATTGTTGCGGTTGGCTTTAGTTTAGGTGGGAATTTAGTTACTAAATACATGGGCGAAACTCAGAAACTGAAACCGAATAGTATAATTGGTGCCATTTCAGTGTGCCAGGGCTATAATGCTGTTGAGTAAGTTTACCAAATGAATGCAATATATTTGCATCTGTGTCTGAAAACACTAAAACGGTTGCTAATAATAATAATTCACTTATTAAAACAACTATAATTCTATATATTTATGCAGAGGAAGCAAATGGCTTTTAAATTACCAAAATTTTCGTCGATTTTATTTGTACGTGATGACTGAAAATGTTAAAAGCATTATACTAAAACATCGTCATATTCTGCTATCCGAAGAGGTTCGAGCCCGTCACAATTTAAACGAACGTGAAATAAGTGCTGCTGCTACATTGCCAGAGTTAGATGAAGCCTACACAAGACGTGTTCATAACTTTCCGTCCACTCAAGAGCTATATAAATGGAGTTCATCTCTACATTATCTTCATAATATTGAAAAGCCAATGATTTTTATTAATGCCAAAGATGATCCATTGGTACCAGAGAACTTACTTACGCCTATTAAAGAGTTTGCATGTAAGCACAAATTTTATTTCATCAATAATCAATCATTTTAGTTATTTAACACTATTTCTATTTACAACGCTTTTTATTTCTAGTACAACAGCCATAAAAACCTTTTAAATATATATATTTATTAGTTTGGTTAACGTAACTGTTGACTTTAAGTGAAATAAATTTGATTATTTAGTCTTAAGGCATTTCTTTATCAACCTGATAAAGAAACGCATTTAGTGTTAAATCAGTTCTTAGTTATTTTTTTTGCTTTCTTTACTTAGCGCTATTTACGATAAAATTTTTATACTTACCAAACGTCTGCACTAGTTAGACTTTGCCAACATTTCTACATCACTCGCACACTCCCACTAATTAGGTTAGATTGGAGTAGCGACCTTGTGGTCAAAGCCCACTTGATCTTAAATAATGGCCTGTTGTGACACTAAGGATTAGCCCTGTTCATACGCAGACTATAGGTCAACGTACGAATAACGCCAAATGGAAGTAAACCAACCTGACAAGTTTATAAACTTGGCTAAGTCCCTAATTTTACAAGATGATAGCGCGAGCCAATAATGGACACTAACACATGTAGTACAAAATTTCAAAGTTAGACTGAAGCCTTAAACCTAGTCTAGTGCAATTATAACTTAAAATTTTTTCCAATGAACTTTCAATATTAATTATTACAAAACTAAGGAAAACGAAAAAAAAAACAATTTTAAATGCAAATATAGTTCATTATAGCCGATAGCCCATGAAATACAAATTTTTTCTACACTGATTTTTTTTAACCGATAAGTATTGTATTAGCGTTTCTTCTAATATAATAATGATATATATTCTTCTTCTTCTTACTTGGCACTAAAGTCCAGTGTCAACCTTGGCCTCCTTCATAATCTGCCTGCATCTGCTTCGATCTTGTGCAGTTGTTTTCCACTTCAGAACTCCAAGCTTTCTGGCGTCCTCGTACACATTTTCCTTCCATCTCAGCTTCGGTCTGCCTCTTTGCCTTATTGTCATCGGTTTAGCATTAAATATATTGGCCAGATTCTTTTCAGGTTCCATTCTTACAACGTGAGCTGCCTACCCATTGCAGTCTTTGTGCTTTGACAAATCTTACTATATTTTCATTTTTAAGCAGGTTATCAATTTCGTTGTTTGTTCGTCTTCTGAATGTCTCGTCGTCCATTTGAATAGTGCCATATACTTGGCGAACTATCTTTATTTCAAAAACCTGCAGCGCTTCTTCGTCCGCCCTTGTCATTGTCCAACATTCCGAGCCATAAGTTGCTATCGGTCTTATTATGATATATATTATGTAGATATAACATATATATGTATATATAATATATAATAATTTTTTATATTATGCATGATAAGTATTTTATGTGATTGCAAATATAATAAATATTTTTTAATCTCTATATATATTTATTTCAGTGTCACGTTTGCGTATTGCTTATGTGGAACTTGCCCATGGCGGTCATCTTGGTTTCTACGAAGGTGGACTAGTTTATCCAAACCCATTAACATGGCTGGACCGCACACTTGTAGCAATGATTGGATCCATTTTGGTTTTACACACTGACCCTACTGGTCCAAAAGATATTATATAAATCTTTATGATAAATTTTCTGAAAAATATGAACATTTCAACTCAATAATTTATGAAACATATACTTCTTCAGGAATATATATATATTTTATACATTCATACAACAATTTTTTTTTTCAAACGCAAAGAAACTATTGTTACAGATTAATTTTATTTTTAAGTAATATACAGTTATGTCTTTTAGAAAGCAAAGAACCCTGTGAAATGTTGTATAAATTTATTATATCCTTATAAAAAGTATTTCTTGTTTTAAAATAATTCGCATTATACAAAGCGATATTTAATATTCATGTCTATTTAATATAATGTAAATCTATTTTAAAAATACACTTTTTTTTAGTCAAAAATAGTTATATAAACAAATTATAATCTTTGTTTTATTATTAATTTTAAATTAATGCAAAATGTAAAGTAATGTTTACTCATTAGAATTCATATCAAAGTTAATTTATTTAAAATTTTAAATCAATTATAAGACAATGTAATTATATTGATGTATTAATATGTTATGTGTGTGTGTGTACATAAGATCATATGTTGCATGCAACTTTTAAGGATTATATTTAGATATTACAAACTTTTTGGAGCCATACACCTACATATATGTATTAATGACTTAATAATAAAAATAATTACATATACATATATTTTATAAATATTATTTATAATATATATATAATATATATAATATATATATAATATATATAATATATATATATATATTATTTATGTATAATATATATAGAATATATGTATATATTATTAATATATTATATATACATAATATATATATATATATATTAATATATTATATGTTTATAAAATATATATACATATTATTAATATATTAAATATATATAAATATTTTATATGTATTATTAATATATTTATATACATATAATTAATTTATATATATATATTCTTTAATATATTATATATATATTATTAATGTAATATATATATTTATTAATATTAAAACTATATATATATAAATATATATTAAATTTTTATATATACAGCTAGAAATTTATATATTAATTGTAATAATATATATAAATATATTTTTATACATTAATAATAAAAATTTTTTTTATTTTTACATAATTTTTTTATGTAATAATTTTTAATATTTATATACCATATATATATATACTTTTTTGAGTCACATTTATATATGTATGTGTAAATGTTATTAATATATATATGTGTGCCTTTACAAACGGCTTTCCAAATATTTTGTAATACTATGCTACATAAATTATGAAACAAAATAACATTCATTGCATTTATTAGTTTATCAATAATGAACTTTATTTAGTTTTTAAATTTTGAAGCCATATGAATATGGTAAACATTCGAAATACAAAATGAAACTTTTATACAGACAAATTGGTGGTATTCAAATTTCCCGTGTACGCCGATTTGACAAAGAATTTTAGTAGAGCCAGTCAACTATTTAAAGCAACTTTTTCCACTATACTATATATGTGCCGATATAGCTTACTTCTCGAGATATGATTGTTGGTGGTTTTCCCATAAAAATTTCCAAATCAAAGCTTCTTATCTCGAAAACTAAACTATATTAACATATAGTGAAGTTGATAATGTTGTTCAATATAGCAGCTGCCCACTTAAATTCGTTGTCGAAAAAGGTTTTTCGGGAAATGGGAAACGACCTAGAAATTAATTATACTTTAAACAACTAGCGCGTGTATTGTTTTATGAAAGATGTATACTATTATTATAGCAAAAAGTGTTCGTGAATAGTAGAATTTATTTTCTTATTAAATATTTGCAGTGCAGGAAAAAAGTAATTAAATTTAGTATTTTGACAGCACAACACTGTTTATGCACAAATATTTTTCTTTATGGTATTATTAAAAAATATTATCCAATTAAAAATCCAATGTTTCATGCAAATACACGCACTATTATTTAAGGCTCTAGCATACGATATAATATGAAATACTTTATTAAGTTTAAAATTTTGTTATTAATTATTATTTCGAGCCAAAAACACACCAAGATGCCTTAATATATTTACTGCCTGTACTGATAGTAAAACACTAAATTTTGCATTTTCCTTTATAAATTATATTAACTTTACTTGTTAGATTCCAGATAATAAGTACAAACGTCTTGGCGTCTTATTATTGGTACATTTTTGAGAATTTAATAAAATCATTAATGAGAAATAACGTAAGGTTCATACATTCAGCACAGTTTGCTGCTTTTTAGATAATAAATATTCTAATAGTCCTTGTCTTTAGAAGGAGAAACGTTCTAAAGCATGACAAAGGACTAAGTTATACCATTCTAATAAATTTATTTGTTTACACTAAAGTGCATAATAAAGTGCATATTTTTAATAAACAAAACATATTTATAAATCAAAAAGTTTGTGTGTCTTTCAATTATTAGACATTTGATCAAACATATGCATTTCTTAAAAATCTATACCTAACCAACCTCATTTCCTATGAAGCCAATGGTTATTGAACCGTTTTAAGGCATGTATAAAAACAATAAAATACGAGTACACATCCCAAAAACTAAAATTGCTGAAAGCTGCATATGTCGCAATTGATTTCTAGAACCAATAAGAACTAAGAACTATAAATAATGTCAAATAATGACGATCGCATAAACAATCAAAACATGTGCGCTTAGAAAAAGAAAGCCAAAATCATCCTTTTTTAAGAACATCTTATAACTATTCTCAAAGTGATTCACTAGCGTTAATATGTATAAAAAATTTCGGTGCATTGCTTTTGGTTGTCGGGACGTAAACCCGGCCGTTCTTAGAACCATAGAACCGGCCATAGACTAAATCAGTGTATATCATTCAAATAACTTATTACACTTCTCCAGCGGCATCTTTGAAATGGAACCTTAAATGAGTCAAAAAAAACTCAGAGTTCATTGGATGTGGCATCTTTTCGAATCCATTTGATAGCCTTAAACAAAATGCTAAAGAGTACTAGAGAGTCTCAGTGTGTAAAGCGTTGTTATTAAAAGTAAATAAGCACTTGTCTATCATAATCCTTTAAGACTGCTTCTCTTCAATAGTTTAAAAACTATTAAATCGCATTTAATATTATTCAATAAATTAGAAATAGATTTATTAAAATATTTGCTACCTCACCTCACCTCACCTAAATAGTGAGAATGGAATGGAAGTTTTCGAGAAATATTTTGCAACGTTTATCTGATCCGATATAGTATAAAATAATTGGATTCATGAGACACATACATATATGAACTCTTTATTTTTAAGACTTTTAAATTAAATAATTTATAATATTTTTAATTTCTGTAATTCTTTGTTATTTGGAACAAAATCTTTGTTTTTTTTTTAAATAATAATAATTTATATTATCTTATTTATTTAAATATAAATAAGATAATTTTCCAAACAATAATCAACCGCTTTAATTAGGAACTATTAAAGTGAGCTTATTAACTACAGATTCTACCAATTGATACGGTTAGAATATACTTTCAATAATTATCAATATATAGACATATAATCATATAATAAAATTAACAGAATCCTACTCATATACATATCTTTAAAATACCTTTGTTGCAATTATCTATGGTATATTAATTTGTTCTATTTTATGTACACAAGTTCGTTATAACTGAGCACCATTAAGACTGTGGAACATAACACTATAAACATATAAAATAAAGTTAAAAGAATTCCTAATAATTTTCAATTCTTATAAAGTATTTTTGTAGATAATGGGGGTACTCAGATCGGTAACGTCGTAACTGGACAATATTGTACAATTTGATAAAATATATTTATAGATAATGGGGGTACTCAGATCGGTAACGTCGTAACTTGACAATATTGTACAATTCGATGTATACATGATTTTCTTAAATCGGTAGGAGGGAGGTTTCTCTGTTACGGCATTACCAAGTTACCACTAACTTCAACGAGGTGCAAAAATTACTTTATTATATTTTGGAGATGTTTTTACACATAATATATTTCCTAATAAAATAATCGAATATGTGGAAGGTTATTCCTTGGTCTAAGAAAAGAAAACTAATCATTATTTTTAATATTCACTGAATTCTAAGTTGCTTAAGAAAGATTAATAAAAAAAACTATCTCAAAACGGTTTATAGTATAATGCATTTATCAGTTTTTAGTCCATTAAGTATTCTTAAATTTGTTACCTAAAATGCCTTTGTTCTAAAATAGTCAGCGAACTTATGATGGGTCAAATTTTATTTTTTTTTGGGGGAAACTCAAGATCACTTCAACAATATATATGAACTGAATCATTTTCGAATTATAGGTCATTTTAGAGGTCATCATATAGGATCCTATATATGAGTTAATACTGCAAATGCACCTCCCATTCGATTTTTTTTTCTTTTTTTTTATAACCAAGGAATTCTTTCCACAATTAATATAAAAAAAAAAAATCAAAAGAACTTTATATACGTATATATACAAAATATTTATTATGCATTTTATTTAAAGTTTTATAAAACCAAAAAATTAATTATTTAAAATATTTTTGTAAGAATAGTGAATTATTTATCACATTTTTAGCACAGATGATTTGTCCAATTTGTTTTTATATGAACTATATATATATTAATATATATTATATTATATTATATTATTTGACAAAAATTGTAAATAAAAAAATTAAAATCTAATAAAATACTTGTAATTTTTTGTAATGTTTGTAATGTAATAATGTATTACAATTAAAATTTGGGTTTTATCTTAAATTATATTTTAGAACAAACTAGAGAAGTACCACCGTAAGTATATATTATGCTGTGACGATGATTAAACGACAGAATCCGTCGAGAGTGAGAGTGAGAGATATGATAATAAACTGGTAGGATAGCAATAAATATCTAGGCATCATGGTGAACAAACGATTTATATGGCTTAAACATGTTCAACTGAAAAGAATTAGCTGTCCAAAAATTCTTCATCACCTCCAACCGCTATTCAAAAATAAATATCTTAATGTTAAGAACAGAAAACCAAATAATTCGCCCTTCCCTACTATATGGATGTGTAGCGTTTAGCAAGATACAAAGAAAATTCACAAATATCTGATTCTCATTAACAGTTACAAACCTACGGAGGAATTCCTTAATGACAAAAAAGAAAACATACTACTAACAACTGAGAAACAAATGTCAGCCCTAAATGCCAGCCCAAGATATTATGTAAAAAACATTCAAAAATTTCAGCAACATCAACTAGCGCTTAAATTTAAAAGACAAGAACTATCTGCATCGCATAGTACTTCGGGATAATATCTAAATTATTATAAAACCAACTATTAGACCATTTAGTTTTTGACCATTTTAAAGTCAACCCACGTTTCTGGAACTTGATAGATAATCCGGATTTTATTTGAGGATCTATATGTAAACTCTGAGAGTTTGTCCTCAATATTGTTACTTATAACGTCGTTTCCATGGTCAATGACTGGTTTATGCAAATGTTTTTTTAAAAGTTTATGCCTAATTTCAAAGGGTACTCACCTTTTTTAGATCATAATTCCCTGAATCTGTTCAATTTTATGGCAAATTTAGCTGTGCCATCAAAGAGCATGCGCCTCCAATATTCCAATATTAGCTCACCTTGAATAATAGTGTATGATTTGACAGAAAAATGTGCTCAGACTTTATTTGCGTAAACCTAATATCAGACTGGCTGAGTTTTTTTTGGTTTTTTGACGATATACGAGCCGGATCATAATTTAATCAGGACTTTGATTTGTGATTAATTTGATCACTTCAAACTTAAGAAATTAAAATTTAACTTAAAATTAAACTTAAATACATTTTCACTTCATTTACAATATATACAACAGATACAATAGATAGATGGATGCTGTTACAAACTTTATGTTTCTTAACTTAATAAAAAGAATTTCTAATTTAAATACTCTATGAAAGATTGTTGGTGTGCCCAAATCCAACATTTTTTATTTTAATTGTTTTCACCGCATTTGAAAAAGAAGAATGTTTTTTATCTTCAATACTTCCTGACAATTAGTTAGTTAGTTAGTTAGATACAGTTAATGAAGTAAGCAAATCTGCAACAAGTGGCGTATTACTGACCTGCTTTATTTTTTTTTAAATTTTTGAAAATTTAATTCATTATGTATTCCGAATAACCAGCCATTTGGATGGATAGACTTTTATAACAATGCAATATGTGAATTACATATGTGGAGTAAGGTTTTATTGTTAAAATATGTTGAATAGCAATGTGATTGCAAAATTAGTGACTTGTAAGCCATTTCTAAAGATATAAATTAAAGTAGGGATGGTTCCAAGAGTTCCCCGTTTGTTATACAGTGAGATGTGACATTAAAAAATATAGCATCGATTTTATAAGTATAATAATAAAATAATAATTTTCAAAAATATGTCTTATTCAATCTATATACGTATAAATATTTTTATATACTATATATAATTATATGAATTATATTATTTTACTAATATACTATTTTAAATATTTATATATAATTACACCAATATTTATTTTAGTAAAAGCATGAAAAGGGGACCCGATTATGAAATTCAGTTTTTTAAAAGTACTAAGAATGATGTGGAAACCTCATTATGACTAATTGGCACCTTATGTTCCTATTACATATGTGCATACATATGTTGAATATTGTGCAATGAATATGTATTGACAATTGCATTTATATTCTTAATTTAAATATTTATATAATTGTAAAACTATTGCCATTCTTTGTACTTAAAATACTTTACTTTAATTTTAAATGATACCTTTTAGGAGCTTTATTAAAGGGATTCTACACACACGTTTAGAATTGATAAATTATAGTACATATGTGATTTATATATTAAGTCCAAATTTTATTCTTTGTCTCCAAGCTATTATTTGATTATTCCTAGTCTAAATGCATGTTTTTTTTTATATTAACCTACGTTAATTTTCGATGTTTATGTCCCTGTCCCGCTGTTCGATTACCCTGTCCTGCTGGACGAGGTCCAGTGTTGCCACTGTTGCCACCTTGGGTGTTGCGATTACCGAAGTTATTTCGATTTGATCCACGACTGCGTTGATTTTGATTCTGACCACCACCGGTATTTCCACTACCACCAGTACGAGATTTCATCAGTTCGGTACGGCTTCTGGGTTTTGATTGTGCTTCCTCCTTTACCATATCAATAACTTCATCTGGTATGCGTAGATATTTAATAGTACTTCCTCGAATATAGCATTCCGGCATGCGCCAAAACCGATCGCCATCCTATTTAAAACATATCCATTTGAAATATTATAAGAACCTAATAACCAACTTTACAAACCTTTGATGTACATATCACATCACGTAAGTTTATATTCATCCATGAGTCGCAGCTTACTAAATGGCCATTGTAAGTTTCACCATTTTTCAGTTCAACTAACTACAATAAATTAAATAACATTAACTAAATATAAGTTGAGCTTTTACTAACATAAATAATGTAAAGTAAAGACCGGCATATATATATGTATTTACCATGGGATGACTCTGTGCAGTTTTAAGCAAGGAAAGCGGTAACTGTAAATATACAATAATTGTAAAATGTGTTATATTTATTGCATTAAAATTAAAAATACCATTTTAATATATATAGTTCATTAATCCAGAAAAAACACGAAAGTTTTCTTTACTAATCCGTTTATTAAAATTGCTTCATATTTATTTCAGAGTTGCATTTATGCAACTATACAAATTATATTTTTAAAATTTTTCAAACTAGATACACAGTAAACAATATTGTGTACAAAAACGTTTAACACATTTGACTTGTATGTTGCATACTGCGTTAAGATCTGTTCAGACCGGCACATGATCTTAAACGAAAATTGAATACTGGGCTTAACAACAATACTTCAGAGCTGATTTAATTTAAATAATACGATGTGCGAGATTGTCGAGGTTACCGCTCTAATATTGAATTTTTTAAATTTCTAATAAGTATATGCTTATTAACACAAAAATGTAATTGTGTAGTATAAAAAATAAAACTAAATACTGATTATGAAAAATTATATCTTCAATATATAATATATCCAAGTCATGATTTTTTTTCGAAAAAATAATTACCTTGAATAGTGGATTTTATACAGCTTTCAATTAACTATTCATTTTAAATTTTAATTTGTTTGTAAATAATTAAAATTTTACAAAATTTAGTTTGCCTGGTATTTTGAGCACATGCTGTAATATTATTGCTGTAATGCCACTTTTTCACCAAGAGAGTTTAGCAAAAGACTTGTTTTTTGCCTTACATCAAAGCAGCAGAATGCAACTTATACTATGTTTACATTGTGAGATTAAGAGAATGAAATTAAGTTAATCTGCACCATTTACATTGTACATTGAAGATTAATTTTGACGTTTCTCTTAGGTTTTGTTATGTGTTTTTGATAAATTTCAACTTTGTACAAAAAAATTCTAATAATAATTTAATTAATTATCCTATAACAATAATTTAACAAATTTTAATTATAATTATGTACAAAACTACTATTAAACAAATTTATTAAAAATGTACTCACTTCAGCATTTTCAAATTTTCAATATTTGTTTTATATAGGATTTGACATTTCTTTTCCAATTCTACTAACATCGTAAAAAATCTACGATATTAAGCTATTTGCAGAGTTGCACAGAAAAATAATCACTACTTCTAAGGAGATTAAAAATTGATCTCACCAAAAGGATATTAATTTTGTATGGGAAATCTGAAATTAAACAAAGAAGTTAATACTTTAATCTCGATTTTTCTTTAATCTACTTTTAATAACAAAATTTAAACGCCGTATAATATATATATATATAAGAACTAGCTACAGCTTTTATATATTTTCGTAATGAAAATTAACAATAGATGGATTTTTCTATAAACTTCAGACTAATCATTTTTAAACTAGTTTTATACACCAAAAATTTAAATTGTTATTAATATACATGATTTCATTATGACTTAATATTTCTTTTTACAATTTATAAAGTCAAAAAATTTAGCATATATTTTTATACGATAAACTAACAGGAAAGTCAATTATGAATTATCACTTACAAACACAATCGTAAAATATGTATATAATTTGTTATTCATACAATTAACAATTTTTATTAAATTCGGTGTAATATCATATAGTGTTTCAATAATTTCGTAAAATTTTATAAGAACTATTTTAATAAATACATCAATACAAACATATTCATTAAGTTTGTTCTTATATTTTTGAAATAAATCAGGAAAAGATAAAAATAAGAATAAAATCTCATTTGTTATTTAAGAAGAGCAGTTTGTATATAGTACAGAAACGCATTTAAAATATAATCCAATAAATCTGTTTTTTTTTTAATTCTTCTGTTTTTGAATGTAGAAACGTTTTTGTAGATATTAGGTCTCTTCCATGAGTTACTTCTAGTAACTTTAAATAACGCTGTGTACACACAGCGTTACTCAAAGTTGCGTTCTACTAGCAAATTTTCGAGTAAATCAGAGCATCTGAGAGAGCGAAGCATCTGAGACTTTACTTGAACGTTTTATTTCAAGTAAAATTTGTGTTGATGTGTGTATCAGCTGATTTGTTTCGAATTTAAATTTCTGTATTGCTTATTTGCGCGGCACTGGTGTTCTCACCAGACCTTACACAAAACTGTTCCATGAAAATCTGTGTAAAGAGCGAAATTTGACACTTTATTTGTGTTACGCACTCATTTTGAATTTTACTTGTGTTTTACTTAAGTTTTACTACGAGTACCTCGTGGAACAGACCTATTATAAATACTTATTATTTTTAATTCTTGTTATAACTACGGATTTCTTCATTTACATATCACATTAGTAAAGGTGTACTTTTTTACATAAAATCTCAAAATGATTATTACTAATTAAAGTATTAATATTTTTAACATTAGTTTAAGCTCTCTTTGTTTATAGGTTTTTGAATTTAAATACAGTCACATAGGGATACAGACCTATTGTATGTGAAACACATAATGTTCTTTGGTGCTAATAATCATGCACTAGTAAACAAAGTATACCAAGTACCAATAAATGCAACAGTGCGAAGTACTACATACGAACAACAAGGTAAGTTGATATAGAAATCAAACAGTATAAACGAAAACAAAACGGGCACGAAGTAAACGCACGGATTTTCCATACAAATTTATATCAAAATATAAGTCGGACGACACGGAAGTATTACCGCAGAAAATGGCTAGCTCCTCACGGTAAGAAAAATTAATTCATTTATTGATATTATCTTCCACATACGTTATTTATATTGTAACATATGCTCCATCAATTTTATCATCGGTTCATGGTTTTAGAATTGAAAATAAGGTTTGCTGCAATTCGCATCCCGATGCTCCGCTCATCGAGGATTATAGAGCGGGCGATATGATTTGCTCAGAATGTGGTCTTGTGGTTGGCGATCGTGTTATAGACGTTGGCTCTGAATGGCGTACATTTAGCAACGAAAAAAGCGGTGTTGACCCTAGTCGTGTTGGTGGTCCTGAAAATCCTCTGCTGAGTGGTGGTGATTTATCAACAATTATTGGTCCTGGTACTGGTTCGGCGTCATTTGATGCATTTGGTGCTCCGAAATACCAAAACAGACGTTCAATGAGTAGTTCAGATCGTTCATTAATTTCCGCATTCAAGGAAATTTCCTCTATGGCGGATCGCATTAATTTACCGAAAACAATCGTTGATCGCGCCAATAATTTGTTTAAGCAGGTAAGTTAGAATTTTGGATTTTGTTATGTAAAATGCGAAGTTCAGTTATTTTTGTATGATAAAAAACAAAGTACGAACATACATGTTCATTCATGAATGAAATGAATAAGTTCATTTTTAATTGCATGGTATTGAAGGTAGTAATTAAAATGTGTTTATCCTTTATATTTTATTTATTTATTTATTAATAAATATAAATATTATATATTTAATAATAAATATTATAAATTATATATTTATTAAAAAATATTATAAATTATATATTTATTAACAAATATTATAAATTATATATTTATTAATAAATATTATAAATTATATATTTATTAATAAATATTATAAATTATATATTTATTAATAAATATTATAAATTATATATTTATTAATTAATATTATAAATTATATATTTATTAATAAATATTATAAATTATATATTTATTAATAAATATAAATATTTTACATTTATTAATAAATATAAAATATTTACTTTCATTGGAATGTGTGACATTTTATAAAGTGCTGTTATTAGAAATACCTGAGGGAGACCTGCGTATACCCGAAGTGCAATTGTTAAATAGACGATGATAGGTATGTAGGAGGTTAGAAGCTAACATATTTAGGCGCAACAGGTCTTTTATTTAAACTGTACTTACATTCATATGTACTTATTGGAATTTTTTAGTGTTGGCTCAGAAGGTATAGCCTCAATATTCTATTTAGAATTTCTCTAATACAGGAGGGGCATGTTCAGTCCAATATTTATAAAAAGAGTTTAGATATAAATAATCTGTTTTTCTATTTGGCGAAGTGTTGTTTAATCTATAGTTCTTTAACTAAAAACAAAATATTTTCATTGGGATGTGAGTGGGACATTTCACAAATGGCCGACAATATGAGGAGTGTATGTAACACGAGAAGTCGTGTTTGTACGAGTCATAGACAGAGGCATGCAAAGTTCCTAAGTACAATTGTGAAATAGACACTGCTCGGTATGTAGTCGGTTAAAAACCGAAGCTCCACTGGTCCAATATGTAGGGTGATCTTTTAGTTGGTGTACCATTTACTACATGCTCATCTGCATTACACACATTCGTATGTAGGTAGGTTGCACTAGCGGCCCTGAATTCAAGAATGGTCACTTGAACTCAAATAGTCTTGTTACGTACAGAAACTGAAAGATCAATTTAAGCAGTTTAAGACAACTATTGTATATGTTAGGAACCAGGAAAGAATGAAGTATTCACATTGTTGAATATCAGCGAAAATGCCGTCGTGACCTGGAGATTTATAAGTTTTAAAAGTTTAAATGGCCCACTTAATATGAGTATTGGTCGGTCTGGAATTGTGAGGGGGGGTAAGCCAAGCTGTGTTGATTCGTATGTACTGATTAGAATTTTTTTATTGTTGATTCAGGAAAAATTTTATCTAGCATTTTCTTGCTTCAGATCGAGCGTGTTCAGCACGCAATTCTCATTGCTCTCGTTGTTTGTGTAGTGCTTTCGTACTTTATTAAATTGTTGGTACTTTTGTGAGCTCTTTTATATGTAATGCTGTTACTGGCTGCTCTCTTATAAGATTATTTTTTGTTTACATTTACGGAGAATAAGCGACGCCATTTACAATTCACGAAAAATGACACCAACAGCGCGACTATCGGTAAACAAAGAGAAATAGTGCTACCAAATTTTTAAATGAAAAGAAATACAAAATTAACCTGAAGGAAAATATGATATATACATATATATATGAAATTATAAATTACAAATTGAGTCAACTTAAAAGTAGATTTAAACGTACAGTGTGTTTAATAGAATCATGGACTTAATGTAATAAAATATTGAAATAAATTATACGTATTAGACACTTCAAAAGCTCACAAAGTTCGTAGGTTTACCGATAAATTCTGATCAATGAATCGTTATGATCGTTATGATTATTATCATATAACATCGACTAATGTTTCTATTAATATAATGAAGCAATTAATGAGAAATAGATAAGGAACTTGTAAACTAATGATGAATTGTGAATTGTACTTAAGTACATTATTTCGGAATTTAGTTGTTATTAAATTTCGAAGTGAAGACTGGAATCTATAGGGAAGGCAGAAAACATAGATAATCTATCTGGTCTTTCATATGAAAGAAACTATTGTTTAAATACAGATTAAAAATCCTAAAGTCGTTCTTTAGTATAAATAAAAATATTTAAAAATATATAAATCTCTGTATAAATTACTAAAATAATAAAACATGAATTTTAGGTTCACGATGGTAAGAACCTTAAAGGTCGTTCTAATGATGCTAAAGCATCAGCCTGTTTATACATTGCTTGTCGTCAAGAGGGTGTTCCACGTACATTTAAAGAAATTTGCGCTGTAAGTAAGATTAGTAAGAAGGAAATCGGACGATGCTTCAAATTAACACTAAAAGCCTTAGAGACAAGTGTCGATCTTATAACTACTGCCGATTTTATGTCTCGTTTCTGCGCAAATTTGGGTATGTTATCAAAATATAACTACATGACGTAAAAATGCATTGCTTATTATATTGTTTTTAATAACCAAATAGATTTGCCTAACATGGTTCAACGTGCTGCAACTCACATTGCTAAGAAAGCTGTAGAAATGGATATTGTTCCAGGTAGATCTCCAATTTCTGTCGCAGCAGCAGCTATATACATGGCTTCGCAGGTACTTAAAATAAACATCTTATGTCTGTTAAATTGTTTGTAATAAATATGATGTTTTATAAATTTTTAGGCATCCGAACATAAACGCAGCCAAAAAGAAATTGGCGATATTGCTGGCGTAGCTGATGTCACAATCAGACAATCTTATAAACTTATGTATCCTCATGCAAATGATTTATTCCCCGAGGACTTCAAATTCACTACACCAATTGATCAGCTACCACAAATGTAGAAATATGTGTGCATATCATATGTGCTTATATATATATATATTTTTTTTTTCTTATATATTTAAATCATTTATTTTATTTTTTATTTTTTTATTTTTTGCGTAACAAATCATAATATTCTTTGTGGTTCACTTTACTTTTTTAAATCTAAATATTTTTTAAAAAAATAATTTAAAATTTAATTGTAATTTAATACAATGTTATATTTTTTATTCAGTTGAATTTAATATATATAAATAAATAGAATATATCAAATAGATTAAGACTTATAATTTATTATTTTATATAAATTGGTATTTATTTGCGAAATCGGTGTATGGTATCAATAACTCTCAATATCACATAATCTATATCTGAGTATAAATGAATCTGTACATTATAAAAATTTTTCTGCTTACTTTTTTTTTTTTTGAACGCTACACACAATAAGAAAACTTAATAATGATGGGTTAGATAATTAAGAGTTTAAAATGATGATAACTTCTTATTTATATATTATATTAACATAACAATGAAAAATTAGCGCAAAACACAATAACGTTTTTATATGGACTGTAATGTAATGCGATTTTAAAAATAAAGATTTTTTATAAATATGAAATATGCATCAATTGAATAAAATTTGTGTCATATGCTTTTTTTCTAATACAAAATAAAGTAATAAAACAATATCACAGTACCACAATTATACGTTGATCATACAGTGCCCTGTGTTTTTTTAATAAAAGAGCCGCGGGGTTTTTGAAAATTATCAGTATTTTTTTTAAATCGCAGCTTCCACTTTTTATTTATAAACGCTCAGGTTTATTTTTCTATAAAACAAATTTACTAACAAAAATAATTTGTTATTAACGGATTACCGATATTCTGCGGAGGGAAACCGGTAGCGATTAATTAATTTTTTTAATCGGTACGTAACGTTGTTATTGAATACATACCCAAGCAATATTCACTTGATATGATAGTCTATAAAAAAGAGATATCTATAGATATCTGGACCATCGAAGTCTATTTCTATTTACACATTTTGAGGATAACACGATAAATTGGATTAATTGTAACGCCCATTAATCAAGCTTATAAATTATACCTCATGTAGCTATATTTAATTCAATTTCGTTCAAAAAATTTAATAAATTTCTACGATTTACCGATGAACTGTGTTTGGCTTGGTTGTTCTTTAAACAGGAGGACCACATTATGTACAAATGTTCCAGGGCAACCTACATTTGTACAGATCCAGTTTGGATACAAAATATTTGTTATTTTATATATAAAATAATATTTTATTGAATCTTATATCGAAAGAAAAGTTCTTTGTAAAATCTTTTGTCCTCTACAGGTTGGCGACTATAATAAACTATCGCATTTAGCAGTTTTACATCCAGTGGTATTCGCTGACTTGGTCATGTCGTGAGAATAGATGAAGATACATTAGCGATAAAGGTATTTGAATTGAAGAAAGAAATGTTACAGGTAGGTAGATCATGTATTTGGTGGAGTGAACAAGTTGAGTAAGGACTGACCGGACTTGATGTGCAAGACTAAAGAAGTTGTATGAGTTATACGAAAAGCGCCTGGTGTGACATGCTGCGTCAGGCCAAAACCCGGTAGTGGGTTGTTATGCCCAAATAATTAAATAAGATATATATATATAGGTAAATTTCTTTTTTGAGTGCATAGTTTTGAGTATTGATGAAGTGGTTGCTATTTTGTCAAGATTACATCTCATATGTCTCGTAAACTTGTCTAATGATTTTTTAGGACACTAGACCACTGCTCCATTCTAATAAGTTACACATACTACATACAACATCAAGAAATATATTAATTGCATTAAATATAATTTATTAGAAGCATTAAAATAAAAGAAATTATGTTAACAGTAACATTGAAAATTGTGAAGTTAGTTTTCATTTTTTAATTTATGTTCGTACACATTAAATATATATTAGTTTTAATAACCGCATGGCACAATAAATTTTTATTTAGTTCGTAATCAAGTTTGACTTTTTAATATTAAAGAATTCATAATTAATTCTATTTGCTGTGTTATTTTCGTTTTTAACTACTTTGTGTCTATATAATTCCATTTATATATTTATACATTATATTATGTTAACAATGAATGTTTCATTATTACTATTTTAAACTTTGTGTTAAATTTATATGTATATGTTCATAAAATATTTTAGAAAAAAAAATAAATTTTACTAAAAAATAAGTGTGTGGGATAGTATTTATATATGAACTATAATTTCAATTTATCGCTGACTAGAGTTTATTAATATTGTTAACATTTTTTAAGCAATAAGCAAGTTGTTTTCAGGGTATATAATAAGAAATAAATATATTCTACAATTCATAAAAAGTTTGCTGCATTAATCTATAGATAAAATACATTTCTCATCATCAGTATGTCCAACACATTCCAGTGCTGGACGGTGCTCCGAATCCCACATGCCCGGTCCACAACGTTTGCATAAACCACTGAGAGTGCATGGTATTTTTGATAATTGTCTATATTGATACAAAAGTCCACGTGCCTTACGTAGAATTAGCTGCCCGTCCATATACATTGCTAATGAGCTAAAATGCAGCAACATTTCATCAGCACGTAAATTTTGCGCAACAACGTCATCTGCATAAACAGCAATTATAGCCAAACATAGAAAAAGATGAAAGTAATCAGTTAAATAGTTGGTCCAACAAGCTTCCCACATGCGTATAACAACAGCTTCCGTGAATTCACGCTTAAAACATAAGAGCAGCCAACGATGACAAAATAAAAGTTCCATAGCATCGTTATGTTTCTTTAAGTGTTCATAAAACCGAGGTAACATAATACGTATAAGCTCTCGCAAATATCTAAGATTGCGATCGATATCATTGTCAGTTGGTGTGCATACAAAAAAAGCGCGTTGCATAAGGCCCACAAAACACCAAAATGTTTCAGATTCATTTTGTACCTCGCAAAGTACAGGCGCCAATAAATCACTCATGCCCTGCAATTAGTCATAGTTTGAGTTAAGTTAATCATAGTTGAATATTTATTTAACACAATACATACTTGTGAATAAGATATTCCCGTATTATAAAAAGCATAATTTAATAAAATATTTTTCATTATTTCTGTATTTGGATTATCATCACCACAAAAAAATGGATTTGAACGATCCGTTCGAACAACATCCTTTTCTACTACATTTTGTACTGTTTTCCAAAAGTGTATTTGTTCTTCTGGCGACATCGAATACAAACGTCTGCGCGTTATTTCTTCATATTCTTGTCGTTTAATATCCACTAAAACAGCGCGATCCTCAAACGTCGAGGAAAACGAATAACACTTTAACAAAAAAGGCCATACAGTTTTTCGTAAACTTTTCTCAAGTCCACCAAAGAATACACATTTACGTAATAATAAGTCGTCATCGATTTGTCCTTTTTCATTTAATAGGGTGCCGTAGAAGAAGTTCGTCGTAATTTTTTTAACATTGCCTTCGTCTGGATGCAGTTCAGTCTTTTTAACTTCAGGACGGCACACCATAAATTGACGATAGGGCAAATTTTGTTTCTCTTGTCCGGGTGCAAGTGTTATATTGTGCAGAAAACAATGCCATTGATGTAATACCTTGGATAAATAGTTTTATTAAAATAGTTTTATTGAAAATGAAATTAAGAATCTTACTTGAGCTAAATGATCTAGACCTCCATAATGAAAATGTAATATTTTATATTGAGATTCGCGCGAAGCAATAACTAACTGGCCTGATGTACAATAGTCATCATTAAAGAAAAGACGTAGTGAACGCATTTGACTGAGATCTACTGAAAAACGGCGACATTTCATTACAGCTTTGCGTCTGATTGTAGGTGTAGCAGTAGCACTGTCTGGAAATGCAAGATTGTGTTTGAAAGCTAATAGTTCTGGCGTCATCCAATTTGGATTATTATCATCCGATACAGAACCATCAGAATTTATTTGCATTTTATCTCGATCAGTTACCACAATACAATTATAAGATTGAGGTATATTAGTGTTTTCGATTTGTGGATTTGAAATAGTAATATTCACCGATGTTATAAGATTCTTTTTTAGCAAAGCCTCTAAATCATCAATTGATGCTGTATCACCACCCAGCAAGGGTTGCAATTCATTTTTTAATTCCTGCATATCGGCTGCATTTTCATCTTCCTTATTTGAATCAATAATATTGTCCTTTTCTGTCAACTTCAGACCACAGCCATCTTCTTTAGGCCTACCATTACAAGTTAAGCCATGCACTGCTTCCGGCAGTTTGAAATCTTTCGACGAGGAATGTGCCGACAAAGGCAGTGCCCCTGTGTAAAATAGTGTACAATTCTCATCACTTGACGAACATTTACATAGTGATGAATTTGGTATCCAAGTAAGTAATAACGTTGGCCTTTTGGCATTATTATACTGATCTACAAAAGTTTTCGTAGTCACAGTTAAATAACCCGGGTAGTGCAGTATATCGGATTCTTGTCGTGCCACTGTAGGTGGATGTATGCAAACATTGTTTTTGCAAAACAATATTTCGTTGTCTTCATACACGATATCGATTTTTTCATCAAATTTGTCATCACCTAAGATAAGGCTGGATGCCTTTTTTATAATGTTAACGATTGGCATGATATTACCATACAAATTTTACTTGTTTTTTATATTTCTTGAATGTGTAGTTATTGTTTACCTAAGACGTTTTATATATGTATATATTTATATAGATTATTTGGTTGTTTTTTTTTTTTCTTAACTAATATGTTCCATCTGTTTATATTATTTTTTTTATAAACCTCCTGGTGCGAGCTACTTTACATTTTTGCGTATTAATATGTACATATTATTTAATGAACTCCTTAATTTCCGAACTTGACTATGTTTTCGTCCTGAGATTTTCAGATTGATCCGATGACCTTTAATTAATTTGATTTGACATATGCGTGTTATTATCCTGAAAAATAATAATTTCAGTGTTGTATTTGTGTATTGATATTATTATAAAAATGCACATTAAAATATAATATAAATATAGGCCGTGTGCAAGTAAATTGAGTGAAATAGTAAATTATGTCGGTATGGCAGCGAATGTTGGTATTTAGCAGAATTTCAAGTAGGGTAAATTATATAAAAATCAGGTAAATTAGGTGTTACCATTGTGAAAATTTTATAAGATCTTTAATAAATAAATTTAAATACTTTTAAACAATAATAATAAATAAGTACAATATATAAATAAATAAATATTTACATAAGTGCATTGCAAAAAATTCTTAGGAAATTTTAATTTATTTTACCTCAATTTACTCGAACTCGCACACGGCCATAACATGATAAAAAAAATATTTTTTATTTTTTAAAATGTAAAAGAGCGTAAAAGTTGCGTCTAGTATAACAAAAATACACAAAATGTAAAAAAAGAAAATATCCGTTAAGGCCATGTTATGCGAGCGACTTAATGATCTGGCGGTCATCACATTTATTGTTGGTTTCTATGTAATTCTCTTACCAACAACAATTTCGTAAGAAAATTTAACAAAAAAAAAGAAAAAAAAGGCCTTATAAAAAAAATTGTCTCCAGTGTCAAAACTTGGTAGAAAATTTATTTTATTGGTATTTGTATATCAATTTTTCTTGCGAAATTTGATGTTAGTACTGGAAATAAGTTAAAAAAATTTAAATCATTGAAAACAATAACAAATGAAGTGATCGACGGTTATTTCATCGTCTTGCATTATGTGACTTTTAATATCTTTTGCGTGTGCAACATCCACGAAAGCTAGAGCTAAAGTTTTCGGAATTTTCACAACTCTAAACTAAATACAAATAAAAACACTATAATTTATTTAATTTAGTTTAAAGAACAAAAAATCACAATACGTTAATAAATGACTAATTTTATAATATTTACCGATCATATAAATAATAACGGAAATGATTTAGACAGTATTTTTTCCGATCTAGCAGCGTGTTGTAGAATTAAATTCATCGCTCCTTCACAATGTAAGAACAAAAATGTGTGTTCACATATTTCAATCCTACATAATACATTAAGTATAAAACACATCCACCGTTTCAGAATGGCCGCGTCTATATCTTGAAACCACTCATCGGGACTGACGACCAAATGCAGTTCGCTACACTCAAAAGGGAGCACATATGCAGCAATGTGGATGCAATAGTACTATAAACTAAATGTAGACGAATTATCTAAAAAGAAATACAGTACAAACACATCATGAATTATACTTCATAAAGCTCATCTGGAATTCCTGGTGGCAGCAACACGTGTATTCCACTCCTTTAATACTCTGAAATAATATTAAAAATAAATAAATTTATAATAATGAAATGTAAAATTAATAAATACTCACTAGAATATACATATTTACTTGTTTTTTTTTTAATTTCATTTATATATTAAATAAAATATAAATTTATCTCAATTATTGCACTTTAAATCAAGCAAGTATAAAATGTAAACAAAGATCACATCAGAGAATATCTTTGATAAGAGAATAAAATCTTCTTTGGTATGTAATGTAAATTACATTACGTTTTGTTTTTTTATTAGCCGTAACTTTTTTCTTTCAGAGCAGGAGAAAAATAACATTAACTCTGGTTAAAAGAAATTGGCAGCACTTTTAAAATATGTTGAATACTTATTTATGACATATGTTTTTGGTTGTGTTGTGTACAATATAATATATAAAAATGGAAGATACTAAAAATTACTTGATTCAAATAAAAGAAAACAAAATAAATATTAGAAAGATAATGGTTAGTTTTTTATCTTATATATTTAAATTATTTTATTTATTAATGTATTTGAATTAAATAATCAGAAAAGAATTTCCGATACTCCTGAATGAATGTACTGAGGATGTGGGTTCATAACTACTAAAGTGGATATGGGCCCATAAGGGTGACGGAATTTCAATCTGACAATTGTGCGACTGGAAGTCTGATCGCCGACTCAAATGAAAAAAAATCAGATGATTTATTGCTCATAAGGCATTATTTATGGTCAAGTAGATTTGCATCGCATGACACTACATAAACTTACTCAAGGCGATTAAATGGATGCACGTATATAATTGTTTTAAATTAAGGACGTGTGAGAGTTAGGCTAAGTTGCGTTCTAAATGAGGGAAATTCCAAGTTGTGCCGATAATATACTGATGTATCGATATGTGTTGATAAATGGCTAAATGTGTGCAGTGCAAAAAATCCCAAAAAATTTCCCTTTTGGTTAAGCATCAACTTAGCCTAACTCGCACACGTCCTAAGAGCAAACTAAAATGCATCAAAGCGAGCCATAATAAATTAGGAAATCTCGAATTTTGATTTCAGTAACTATTTAGAAAACATACATTTGTTTGAATTTGTTTATTTATTAATTTGCCATATATTGTCAACTGTGCACTTATTGCTTGTTAAGGTAGGATAGCTCTTTAAGGTAGATACGGTATAGCTACAATAATGATTAACACTATAAATTAATAATTAAGGAATAAATGAATTAATTACGGACCTTTGGTAATAATAGTCATATTTACACCGAACCCAGCTTCTTACTACTACGGCGTTTAAATTACGAAATTTGCTGGTGAAAATCGATTTTGAGTTAACGGATACCAAGTGCTGTCACTGTCGGTTATTTATGATATGGCAGCTCTGTTCTGTTCGGAACACAGAAAATAATTCTGACAGTTTGGTGTCACAGATAATATGGCGCCAAATGCTGTGCACCTATGTGTGTTTATTTACATTTAAACATTAAAAGTAGTGTGTTTATATTAATAAAAAAATGGCTTCAATTTTTGGTGATGATGGTGTAGAGGACTTGTTTAATGAAAATATAAATGCACAAGATTTACCCAGCGATGATGAACAACGTGCTGAAGGTGATGAAAATATATTTGGAGATAATGCTGAAGGGGTTGATGGCGAAGGTCAGCCTATTAAGCTGGAACCAAAAAAACGTAGTGTGCGGAATCCACGTGTAAAACTAAGTATTGAAACATTACAAGGACCCCGTGGCATCCACACTATAGAAGATTATTTTAAGGATATAAAATATAAAGGGAAAGGACATGAGAGAGATGATTTGAATGAGGTTGTGCGACGTATGCAGCACTGGGCGCATCGTATGTATCCCAATTATAAATTTAATGATGTGCTGAACAATATAGAACGTTTGGGCAAAAAGAAAACTTTGCAAGTACATATGTCGCGTTATCGTTTGGGAATGTTAGAAAATTTAGATGTGAATCCTAATGCTGAGATAATTAATCCCAATGAAGAGGAAGAAGATGAAGCAATTGTCGAAGAACCGTTTGATGAATTCGATGCTTTATTGGGTGAACAGATTGCTTTATCCAGAGTAGCGCCACGTACTCCAGGACCCAGCGCACATAAAACCCCAAAAACTCCAATGACGAATAGCACATTACATACACCATCATTTGCTCGTAACGCGGTGATGTCAACACCTCACACAAATATTAATTTAGATGACACCAGTGAGTATGCGCAACCTTTACCAGCATCACAACCGGCAACACCAGTTGCTGTCAAAACTCTAACAGCAGAACAAATGGCGCGCATAGCGGAAAATCGGCGTTTAGCGCAAGAACGTTTGCGTGCCAGACAACAACAACAACAGCAAGCACAGAAACAGGCAGAAAGTGAAAAATTAGCAACTGTAATGGAAACAGAAGAATTAAATGTTTAACATATAATATTTATTTAACAATGTTACGTTTGTATAAATTAAATTAGTTTATAAAATGAATTTACAATTGTTTAATTGTTGTAACCATTAAGTTTAACACGCGTACAATTTTTAATTTTGTTCTCTTTATTATATCACAGCCAATCATACATTTATAGATTGGAAGAATAATATATATGTATACAAGTAGATAATCAACATAATCGAGCTCTTAGGAATACTTTTTAAATACATTGTATTGTATAGATTTAAAATAATAAGGAACTAAGCTTAAAGCATTTGTACATAACGATATAATGCACCAGACTCCTCGAACACTGGAACAGTATTGAAGTTTCGCGGTATCTTACAGTATTCTTCATAGATACGTTTACTCTTTAAGTCAACAGTTGGTGGTTTTACGGACAAATAGGAATCATTGCCATAATTACCGAGTGGCTGTAAATTAATATTTTTCATAAGTTTGTTTACATCCGTATCACGAGGTGTTGCACTGAGTGATGTCGTGCCACCATTACACAATTTTCCCATTTGAACATATTTCTTATATATTTGCATATTTTCTTTGCTGGCATTAGTAATTTTGCAACCATAAACCTGTTCCATTGGAGGCAGCAATGTATCTAATGTGATGGCGTCCTGCTCAATCGAATCCATTTGTTTGGATTGGTTTTCTGCAAAGCTAGTACTTAAGTCTTCGTCAGTTGAACTGTCATCTGCTTCTGAAGTGGAACTGGAGGAGTTACTATTCATTGAACTGGTAGAACTTTGGCCTGTCATTGATGGATTTTTACGTGTTTTACGTTCTTGTATTTGCCGCTGAAATGGGCTATAGTTAGTGCGTAGGGTAGGCATATACCTCAAAGCTAATTGGCTAATTTCGAATGATATATGTTCATTACAGTCAGTCCACTTAAACGATTGATGGTAATTGGAATAAGCATCGATCATTTCGAGATCTTTGGAGTGAACACGAAACAGTTCCTTAACAATTTTATTTGTTTCAGAGCACGAAAAAGGCAAGCAAGCACGAACTTTTACACGCACCCAATCTGTTATGGGTTTCTTTTCATCGCTTGCCGATGGGAACTCATAGGTGTTGTGCATATAATAATCTGTTTGTAATTCCCAAATTGGTTGATTTTCTAACAAAATAAATTACATAAACACAATTATCTTTATTTTTATTTTACCATATAATATATTTACCTTTTGCATGGCTCTTGCTAGGTATGTAATAGCCCAAGAAGAGATTTATGCTGTGTTGTTTTTCTGTATCACTAAATGTGTTGCTATAATAACGACTGAGTGTTTGCATTATGTCATTGCCTTGCGATGCCCATGCCGCGGTTTTTCTATAAGTTTTAATGCGATGTACAAGCTGAGAGCCTCCATATTGTAGAGCTAACGTATCACCATGTTCCTCGTACAAATTTTCCAGCATCGTTACACAATCGGAATCAAACTCCAATTTTGCAGATTTAAGAAAACCTAAATAATCCAGTTGATGCCCTAGCACACATTTGCCAATAGCAAACTGAGCCGTATTCGTACGATCTAAACAATCAACGCAATTTGTGCGCACAATACCAGTTTGGTACATTCGCTCACTGCCAGGTGCTTTAAAAAACATGCCCGTCTGCTGCACTACACTCTCTGCAATGTCGGCTAACATTTCCATGACATTGCCACCACCACGACTCTTACGTGCCATATCAAAGTGTATGTGTTTCATGCGATGGTGTGGTGGCAAAAATGTGTTGAGATAACGTATACTGTTCACTAATTCCTTGGAAATAATAGACTCGTGTTTACGTTTTTCACGCTTTTTAACCAGATTCAACATTATAATAGGCGCACCATAATGGAATAGCAAACGTTCAAAATGTCGTGATGGTGTCTGCGCATATGGATCGCAAATATCCAACTGTATGGGTGGTTTAGGTACCATTTTACTGATATCCTATATGGTGAAAATGTAAATCAAATATTTTTGTTTTTTTGTAAAATAAATTTTTCTTTACCTGTGACCAATGTGAAGGTACAGAACCACGCATTTGCGTAAAAGAACACATACGCAGACCATCAGTAACAATCTGTTCAGTTTCTACTTCATTAGCCACATCGCCCTGAAAATTTGCACCGCGTTTTAAAAACCGTGTGCCTGCAAATCGAGTACTTCTACGTGCTATTAAGCAAACATTGACATGACGACCAAATATGCTTATGCTTGATTGTGACACATAGCCATGTGTCACTTCCAGTAGCCAATCCTTTAGCATTATATCTTTCATGCTTTGCAGCAAGAATGAATTCCAGACGAAACGTTTACGTGAACAACTACGAAACGCATAATCGACACGTTCATTTGCTGCTTGGACATTATTAGTCAATACATTCCAATCAGGCAACGGTTCATCTTTTTCTATATCAACGCCCGGTCCAACAAAACGCGGCGCTGATTCGTTGAATTGCAATGTGCGTGTCAAATCATAAGAATAGGAAAAATAAAAATTGCTACGTAAATCTATATTTTGGAACATTTTTTTATAGCGCTCCTCGAACGGGTGGGGCGTTTTTAGCGTTGCTTCGTTTACACGCACCATAACCGTGTCCTTGATGGTGTAAATGAGGTGCATACCAATGTGTGCACAACATTTTCGTTTTGTCACAAGTATCAAGTAGTAACCTTCCAAAAATCGCACGAAACCCAAAACGCCGTACGCTGATATAATTTTGGGTGCACCGCCTAAGGAACCCAAGAAACGTCTGATCTCATGTGCAGTCAACTCATTGGGATTCTCCTCAATTGGCAGGTGATCCTGTTTTGTGCGATCAATACTCAATAAACGAAATCGAGTTTCTCGATTGTTACTGCCCACTAAATAAAGACGCTGCAAATTTTTTAGACTTCAAATAGATATTTTGTTCCATTTAATTAAAATGCACTACTCACTGTCTTTGTTTCGTAGAGCACTACTTTTTGTATAGCGCTAATGATAGGATGAAATATTATATTCGGATTGTTATTATTCATCTTTTCAGTATTTCCAGTATTTTAATACTTTTGTGAGAGACACAACTTCATCAATACCTACATTAGAAAGCTTTCTAAGCAAAATAACAAAAACAAATTTTGTTGGGATTATAAAAGATTGATGACAATTTACCAGCGCCAAGTTAGCAACGTTGCTAACTTGGCGCTTGAAAAATGTTCGATATGGCGGTATATGTTAGCAGTTTACAGACGAAAATCTTTGTTTCTTATATGCAATATATTTTTGAAAATTTTAGAAAATCTGTCTACTCATTTTTAAAGATTTATATACCAAAATATTCTAGAATATGTCTATTTTTTAAAAAAATACCGTGCAACAGTGTACCATTCCGTAAAATTTATAATTATTTAAATTTTGATAGTGTCCCCTAACACAGAATATAACCAACAACAAATGCCTGTAACAGAGTTCAATGCATTTGTGAATATGCTGCAAAAGTTGTTTTTGTTAATATCTTTATTGTTTGCTACTCGATTTTGATAATTCTTACATCAATTCATATTAGAAAAATATAAACAATTTAAAAAAATACCGTGCAACATTGTACTACTTTTTATTTTTGTTTCTAATATATATTGAAAAATGTTCGTTATGGCGGTATATGTTAGCAGTTTACAGACGAAAATCTTTCTTTTTTATATGCAATATATATTTGAATTTAATTTAAATATTGAATTTGAAATATTATTATTATATAAATTAAATTTTATAATCATCCCCTTACCACAGAATACAACCACCTATAAATACTTTTAACAGAGTTCTTTAATAAACTTTACAGTGGTGGTGAATTTTTGGCCTTGTACAGGTTTTCACCTTAATATGTTATTAGAATGGTGTTAGTTAACATACATTTTTTTCGTAAAAAATCTACTTTTTTAAACATATATAATTAAAAAACGTTCTACTCGATTTTTGTGAAATTAGTTTTGTTTGAAAGAGTGATCAATTTAGTTTTAGGAACTTTAAGCGTGCAGGTTGTACCTCCTTCGAAGTTTAAATAAAATGCACTTATATCGGAACATGTGCAAAATTTATACTTATTTTAATAATATTTTGATGTTTTAGTTGAGATATTGAAATGATTCTTATTTATCCGGTTTTGTGAAAGTTTTTTTTATACTTTTGCGTTTTACATTTTTTAAAAAGCTTGAAATTTGACGAGTTTGGAAATTTGACTTTGACATCAAATTTCTCAAAATTGGTCTACTCGATTTTTATGATTTTTTTGCTGTTGATAGACTGATTAATTCTCTATTAGATGTATTTCCGTGCAACATTGTACCTGTTCTAGATTTTTCTAAAAATAAATTTTTTCAAAAAAAGTCGATTTTGGTCAATTTTTATTTTCCCTATAATTTGAAAAATACGCATCGTATCTCAAATTGGTAAATGCCAATCGAAAGATCTTTCAAAACTCTATAAGAATAATGCCTTTTGTTTTAGTTTAATTCCATATATTAACGAAAATATCATTTTTTAAAAATTTTTTAAAAATACAGCTCTGCATTTTCCAGCAACGTTGCTAACTTGGCACTAGCTGCTTTAACGACGTATTGTGTAAATTCGCGATTTTATCAGTGTTGCATTTGCTCTAATTTACCAGCTGTCCAGCAGGACAGACTGTGTTATCAACATAGTATTGTAAGAAAATAAATGTAAAAAAAGCTTTCTACAAATCGTTTCTTCTAGATTTTTTTTTTAAGAATTTTTGATTTTTCATTAAGAAATTATTCTGTTATTCACTCTTAATAAGTTTGGGTGATTTTGGTCATTGTTATCTTTTTATTAACTTTTTTATCTTCGGATGGTTTGAGTGGTACTTAAAACATTCTCGGTAACTCGTTAAATCGATAAAATTTTCTATGTATTGCTTTTGGAGAAATTGCAACGTTACCGAGTTAGAAATTACCAAACCATCAGCTGATTCTTTCTATTGTACAGTCTTGCACAAAACTTAATTTTAATAAAAAGTTTAAAGTGTTCGAAAAGACAACAAATAAAGAAATATTGATAAATTTATAGAACTAAATAAAATATCATGTTTTATTTTAATTTTTAATTGCTTTTTTCCACTTGTTTTTGCTACTTTCTTATTTTTATATAAAACAAAACAAACAAAATTAACTGCTTTGACTGCTTTATTTCATAATTATGCTGAGAAAGTATTAAAATAGTGCGTTTAACATTTTATTTTTTATCAAATACCGAGTATTCGAGCAACATCTGAATAGGCCTTAATATGTGTAATAAAGGAGCTGAAACGATATACAGTCATAATATTATATATAGTAAAATTTCATTTGAAATTTGTTGTATTACATAGAAATTAATAACAATTATATTATATAATATATGTATATAAAGCTTACAGCTATAGCATTTTAACCGTCTGCCGGAGCTGAAACTATATATTGTGCATTAATTTCGATCAAGGATAATGTTTAAAAAAAAAATAAATAATGAATTATTAAAGCTTATTACATTTTGAAGAAAAAATAAAATCTCTTTTTCCATATTTATCAAGTTAATTGTCATAGAATAATAACTGCAAAAATTTTAATTAAAATACCAAAAACTATTTATATAAGTAGTGTTCATACATGACTCATAGAATGAATATTTTTTTTATATTGGTGCCTTTGTATGTTAACTTTTTTCGGGTTTTACAAATATGAATACAGTCCGTCTGTAGAACCTTAAATAAAAATCATTAAATATCAATTCGTAATATCATAAATAAATCATAAATATTTTATTTCTCCGTAATAAAAGCTATCTTCTTTCCTTAATGTGAAACCAAATGATCATTAATTGAGTGGTAATAGCTTAATTAAGTTGGCGTTGATTTTTTCCAATGAATGAAGGTATTTCAATCAACCAATACAGGTGTTAAACTGTTCATTTTGATTTATTGCAAAATTTTAATTTAACGAAACGTCAAATTTTCTTTTGTTTATATTTTACAAATTCAATATAAATAATTTAAAAACATAATATTTATTTGAAAAAGTTAAAAATTAATTATAAGAAAGAACGAATAATAAACTCTATTAATATATCTAAGATTTGTAATAAATTAATCAAAGAGGCTTATGCAGTATATGAAACTAGCTAGTAATGGCTCAAAATCAAAATAATAATCCCACGAATATTAAATCGCATCAAAGGGCCATGTATAACGTAAACAAAAATGACAAATGTCAAAAACAGCTCATAATATCATCAAAGTCTGTTCAAAACTTTCATTGAGCATGTTTAAAATTGAACTCTTACAAAATTTACGCAAAACGCAACGTACTAACGGCAATAAATCTTGTAAATCTACAAAAACCATTTTAGTTAATACCAATTATTGGCATAGATGGCATTTGTGAAATTTATGCTAATATTTGCAATAAATTGTGCAGTTTAAACGGGATATTACAGTAATTTTCAACATTGTCTTACGCATCATGAAAAAATTTTATATCACTATTTGTTGAAATAGGACTGCATATTTGTCATTAATTTACTACAATATAATAACTTTGTAATATTGCTTTTGTTTTTATTAAGTTCATTCAACACACTATCCAGTATTAACGGAATAATTTTATTAAATACTTGAGGTAAGATGAGGTGATAACACAATCACACGTTTTGCTTATTAGCACCGCTAATGAGAGTAATTTACTATACAAAAATCTTTCATATAAATAAGCTTATTATCAATAAATCAGCTCATTTAAGGTGATAAATATCGAATGTAACCTTTAAAAATATATTTCCAACAAGGGAAATCATCAAATTTTGAAATATGTGTCATATGTTTTATATATAAAATGTATTTTTCACTATATTTTTGAAATTAATAACATGTTAGAGTTCTTTCTCTATATTCAAATTTAAAAATATGCACTACTTTCAAAATATTTTCCCGGTTTTATTTAAGTCAACAGTCACTGACATTTATTTAAAAAAAAAATGTCACTTTTTCGTTATCTGAACTTTATCATACATATTTATACATATTTATTGTAATATGTAATATAATTATTTAATACGAAAATAATTTATTAATATTTTTATTTTTTTTTGTGTTTTCTAATGTTATCTTTAATAGTTAATAATAACACTAAATCTTATATTAATAAACTATTGAAGTTTTAAAAGTGCCAGATCATCGCTTATATCAGCTTAAAAATTATGTTTAATTTTATGTTCGCTTTATATTTCCTCTTACCAACACTTTTAAATGTGACAGCAATTATTACAAGTTTCTTAAGAGTGCAACAACAACATAAAATCCATTGGTGACTCAGTAGAAAGCGGTCGAAAAGAAAACTAAAAAGTGGTGATGAAAATTTTTTTGTCAATTTGCTATTTAAGAAAATTAAAATTCGCGATTTTATAAAATTGTATTTATATATATTTTAGTGTGTTTATGTAGTTAATAAATAATATAATATTAAGGGTGAAAAGAAGTTGATAGCAACTTAAAAAATTATATTGCCGGAGAAATTAAGCCCAACCCAAAGTAAGCAAAAAGGTCAGCAAACCTGCAAATTAAATAGACGTCGAAGAAAACATATATACTCTAGCTAAGAAAGTAAACTATAGAAGAATTTAATAGTATTAAAATAAACACAACTACTATGTCATCAGGAGATTTTGGAAATCCACTACGTAAATTTAAACTTGTGTTCCTTGGTGAACAAAGTGTTGGTAAGACTTCATTAATCACACGTTTTATGTACGATAGCTTTGATAATACGTATCAGGCCACAATTGGCATCGATTTCCTTTCTAAAACCATGTACCTAGAGGATAGAACTGTACGACTGCAATTATGGGATACAGCTGGTCAAGAACGTTTTCGATCACTCATACCCTCATATATACGTGATTCAACAGTGGCTGTGGTAGTTTACGACATTACGAATACAAACTCTTTCCACCAAACATCAAAATGGATCGATGACGTGCGTACAGAGCGGGGCAGTGATGTCATTATTATGCTAGTAGGCAATAAAACGGATCTTTCTGATAAAAGACAAGTATCCACTGAGGAAGGCGAAAGAAAAGCAAAGGAATTAAATGTGATGTTTATAGAAACGAGCGCAAAAGCGGGATACAATGTAAAACAGCTGTTTAGGCGTGTAGCAGCCGCCTTGCCTGGTATGGATTCAACAGAAAATAGACCATCGGAAGATATGCAAGAAGTAGTACTTAAAGACTCACCCAATGAGACAAAAGATCCCGAAGGAGGCTGTGCCTGCTGAATAAATAAACAGCAATCTGATATAGCTAACGTAAAACATATAACCAATTTTAGTACGATATATGAATAGGCAATATGAGAGCGAGAAGAAAATTGAAACAATTCTATTTTTAAGTTTATTTATAATAAAATAAATCAATTAAGATAATAAATATGAGTAATCAACCACGATAACCACGAAAAAATGTAACAAGGATGAATGAAGTACCAATATCAATTGCATGCGGTTTGCTGAGTCTCTGAGGAATTAAATTGATGACTCCAATAACAAACAGAAACCACGACAAATGCAAATATATCAATTACCTTTTAAACCAATCGCTGCACAATCTTAGAGCTAAACTAGAAATGATGAATTTTATATTCTTACCAGTGTCATTATTGTTCTGTATCAAATTGGTTTTCATTTGATAAACACTCAGACTTAATTCTAACTACTTCATATTTGTAAATGAACCTGAATTGTTCAGATGCGACTTTCCTAAACTTAGATTAATATATATCTATATAGTTAAATATACAATAATTTAAAGCATGAATTCCATTCTTACTCAAACTTTCAAAATATCATTATCCTACATTCCGACTGATTTATATAACTTTTCAGCAATACGTTCATTATTTTGTGTACCTTTAAATTTATACTCAGAATTTCAATAACCCTCACTCAGGTCAATTAAAAGCTATGTATTTTCTTAAATAAAAATTCGGTCTCAAAATTCAGCATTCCTAGTATTTTTAATGTTTAGATTTATTTTTCAAAAAGTACGTTTCACTAGATTTTTACAGATAAGTATGACGGTGGAGGTTGACATATATAGGCTGTTATTTGCATATATTATCCATTAACTTATCTATTATAAGTTTCTAGATTTTTAAGGCTTGGAATTGTTAGAACAAAATCGTGACAAAGCAAACACGCTTACAGTTCCTTTTTATTTTGCGTCTTCATAAAACATATTCAGTTGGTATTTTTATTCTAATGGCATGAGGTTCTTGCTATTAGTATCTTGTTATAATTGCTAACAGCATAGAGATGAAATCCCTATTTTTATATTCTGTTTGCATAGGCAATGTAGATGGCATATATTCTTGATCAGCTCTCTGAAACAAATCCAACTGCCCATATATCAATTTGAATGGAAATAAGTTTTTAGAGTGTGAGGTAGACACAGGAGCTTTTGTATATAGAATTTTTGGAAAGAGATCTATTACATTTGCCAAAATTACCAGAAATGAAATGATTAAGCTGATAGCTGGCTAATAATTAAATTTAATAATAAGAACATACTTTATATTACATACAATATATTTGGTTGATATTTGCTATGATATTTTTTGGATTTTAATTGAAATCGGTTTTGGATATAGGTTTTGAAAACGAGAGTTAATTTATTTATATTTTTACCAATCTTGAATAATAAAAGATACAACAAATATGTTACTATCAAAAAATAGAATGGGCGTTAAAAATTTGGCTATATCTTCCATATGAGCTAAGTGTAGCGGCACTAGTTTTCACATTGAAAAATATTTTTATTTACTTATTTTTGACTCTGTCCCAAAACTAGGGGGACATGTATGTTTATAATATTATACATTGTTATTAAAAATAAACCTGATCATTTGTAATTTGCATATATAAAGCTGGCATACAATTTAATGGTTATAGTATTGAAGTTGTTTCATTATTTAATAAGATTGATTGTAGAGTGTCTAAAATTAAATCAAACATCACAGACAATTATTTTATTGATCGATCAATATAAATATATAAACTGAATCTGAATCTGAAAAACTGTATTTTGTTAACTCTCAATAACACTGTGTAAGGGGTATCAACTTCGTCAAAACTTCGTTTTTCCTTTTTTTCTGTGCAGTTGATTGGAGTGTTCTTTTTGCAACGTGGGCCATATCAAAATAGTGGTTTTGCAAAATAATCCCTTTTTTCAGCTTCTATTATAGAACTAGACAAGTAATATAAGAGTATTTTCAACAGTATAATTGCTTAAGGCAACAATTTTATATGTTAAAGCTGATTAATTGCACGAATAAATCAAAGAGATTCAATTCTGTATTCTATTTTGCTCTATTTTGTATCAATTTATGTTGTGATTACATGAGACCAATTTGCATTTACATATATTTAACTCCAATTATATATATAAAGGGAAAAAAGAGAGTTTAATCCTTTTTAGTCTTTAAGAAGTTCATTCTTAAAATCCGTTTATTATTTTCCCACTTCTCCTATTTAAACTATTTTTTTTTTAATAGCACATAAAAATTGAGGCTTGAAATTCCAGCGGTTATATTAACTTACTCTTATATATATATATATATATATATATATATATATATAATATATATATATATATATATATATATATATATATAAATAATATTTATTAATAATAAAAATAAAAAAAAATTACATTTAATAAAATGAATTAAAATTGAGTAAAATAGATTATTATAATTGAATTATTAACTTCAATCGTACACTTAAAAAATGCCACTTAAGCTTTCTGAAAGTCATTTTAAATAATAATAAAAATTAAAAAAATAACAACGAAAATCTAGCTTAATTGACAAATTATTTATAATAAAGTTTTAATACATATTATGATAATGATATATAATAATAGGAAAAATTGTAATTTTTTATCCTTTTGCTTTATGTTTTGATAAAATGTTTTTACAAAATTTATTATTTTATATGTTATTAAATTAATTTTTTATGCAATTATAACATTTTGGAGATTAGCATTTTTACCATTAAAAATATCATAAAAGCAAATAAACACTAAAATCAATATTATTTATATACTAAATTAATTGTCATGCTAATTAGTTTGTGTATTTCAAATTACATTGAAAGAGAATAAAACAAAAATTACAATAATAAATCGGATAAGCGATATGAAATTATTATATTAGTTTTTAGAACAATTACAGATAGAGAGAAGAATCTGGTTATAAAGTATCGCTATTACATTGAAGTCTACCGCAACAAACATAGCATCAGTGATGTCGAATATCTGTAATGATTATGCTCTCCATATTGAGGTAATGTCTTTTTCAACACTACGTTTGTTCACAACAGTGGTCTCAATAGGCATTTGCATGAAAAGTTTGAGAATAAAAAACATTTCACAAATGCCGCACATACTGTCCTGGTCCAATTAATGTCTGGATAAAACTACGTTCTTAATAGTTGCTTATCACGCATAAACATGTTTGAATCAAATGTGTTACCCCAACTGCAACTCTACTCATCATAATGCCTCCCTTCTCTTTTTATGTCCTAATGCACACGCAAATATACACTCAATTTGCTTAGGGATATGTTACTGTTATATTGAGTTTCTATCTCAATTTTCCTCTCTTCTGGCCGCGGTTCAGTTCGACAATAAGTTCCTACTAATCCCTTTCCTAACTTCTACCTTATACCTTCTTACTTCACCATTATACTTCATTGTGCAAGTTTTTTCATCTTTATGTGTGCATGCCTTACAGGTGAATTTGGATCATAATATCAAGAACACTATATCTAATATTAACAATTAGGCTAATAGGGCTTTCCTTACATTCATATCTATATATGTCATTACAGTTCATACCAATTTAATTCACTTAACACTGCTGCTAACTTGAATAACAACTTAAATATCAGAACATCACATGTATTCAAATAAATTCTTACCACTGCTATTAAAAACCATTCAACTCTTTAATATTCATAGTAGTCATTAAAAATACAATTTCTCGTAGTTCTATACTATATATCAAATAATCTGCATGCATATTAATACTAAAAACTACTTTCGCTGAAATTCGTTTATTCTAAACTTATGAGCGACCCAACTGAAGAAAGCTACTATAATTAGCAAATCGAATTATTCTGGTACAGTTTTTAGGTCATGCTCTACCAATTGAGACTGCATTTCGTTAAAATTTAGTTCTCAAGAAAACTTCATTGTATAGAGCAGCTAGAGTTAATAAACGCATTAACAACCATTGTGGTGGATCGGTTTTGCAAAGTGTGCAAACTTTAATATAATACAGGTTCATATACTCATATACTCTATATATGTATATTATATATAATGTTTCCAATAAAATTTTACAAACAAAATTGTTGAAGTAAAATTTTGCAGTCTGATTATTACGCTTTTCAAAAACGTATAGAAAAGAAAGAATAGATCTCATGGGTCACATAAAAGATTATTTATAAAATAGGCATTATGATTTTTGAAAAGCTTACTTTTTGAATTTGTTTAATGAAAATGGGGCACTATATCGTATAGACAATTTTTAAGGTTCCAGTCTTAAATTTATATGCTTTCATTTATTTAATAGAGGTCTTATATCTACCATGTTAATCAATTATAATTTGAAACTATATTTGGTGTAGTACAATACATATGAAGAGAAGTATGGCATTTAATTACTGATTTAATAAAGAGTAAATGTGTTATGACTAAGAGTTAAAAGTTTTTTCAAGGTTTATAGGTACATGTTTATATATTGCATATATCTATCATCATTTTAATAAACGAGGTCATTACTGTATTATTTTATTACAGACAGCACAAGGGACAATTAATATTACAAATAAAACTAACAAACAGAAATAGATGATGGCAAACGATTTCAAAAAAAAGTATAATTGATCTTAAAAAATTGTCGGTGTCCAATATCGTATGTAATATGTAATAGTTTACCATAGGAACGTTTTATGGTTAATATTTAAATAACTTAAACTGGGTAATGGCAGATTATATCTATTATAATATGATCAACGATTTTAATTTTATAATACTATTTCTATATGAGAAGGTTTGGCCAATCGTATACATTATTTGAAGTTATGAATCCGTAGTATAATATTTAAATATAAACTATTTCTGGACGTACTGGAATTATGTAGAATTATTATAGTAAATTTATTAACTTTGGTTTGCTTTAAAATAAATACATGGATTAGAAAAAAAAACTACCTTGCCTGCCGTGTGATATCCTTCAACAATTTAGGAAATTAATACGGGTGCAGTCAAAGTGCATAGAAGGGTCCTAAAAATGCATACGAAGTAATATTTCACAACTAGAAGACCCGTAATGTTATAACCGCCCCTTAATGTTATTTGATTGATATCAAAGCAGTGGACATGAACTAATTTATTGCTATGGACTAGTTAATCTCAACAATCAGACAAATACTTTTATTAGACTGAACTAGTCTAATATTAGAGAATCACCAAATCACCAAATGTTGTTCACCCCTCTCTCGTTAAAGCAACAACAAAAACAAAAAACTCAAGTGCAATTCATTGAAAACACCAATAAAGCATCATTTGAAATAAAATATAAAATTATTTAATTATTACGTCTTAAATATCTTTATTTTGGTTTTAGATTTTACGATAAAGCCAGCCATTAATGACAATTTTAAATATTTTTTTCCATAGTTTTTAATAATTTTGAAGCAAAAGATGTAGATAATAATTTGTAAGCAATTACAATTTTTCCTTTTTCAAAGATAAATAAGTGTATATATTTTAAAAATAAATTAAATAGTGTGAGTGTGATACTTTACGAAATCACAGACGTTGTTTAGAAATTGTCTTCGTCTGTTATAAATTCATCTCGTATCTTTTGTAATTTTGTTATTAAGTCTGCAACTGAAACCTCACCATGTACCTTATTGTCACGTGTGCGCACATTCACAGTATTGGACGAACGTTCCTTTTCACCAACAACTAAAATGAAATTAAACTGTGCAAGCTGTGCGTTACGTATCTTCTTGTTCATAGTATCGCCCGCATCAACATCGGCCTCAGCCATAAAACCAGCAGCATGGAGCTGTTCTTTTACTGAATGTGCATATTCATCGAAACTAGGTCCAACTGGTACTACCATTACTTGACGTGGTGATAGCCAGAAAGGCCATTTACCTGCATAATTTTCAGTCAAAATCGCAATCATACGTTCTACTGATCCGAGTATAGCACGATGTATAATGACAGGTCGCTTCTTCTCTCCATCGTCTGCAATATAATTTAAGTTAAAACGTATTGGCAGTTGAAAATCTAGTTGAATGGTAGCGCATTGATGAGCACGTTTTAATGCATCCATAATGGTAATATCGATTTTTGGACCATAAAATGCTCCATCGCCTGGATTTTCTTTCCAAGGCATACCGAACTCATCGAGTGATTCGGCTAGCGCCTTTTCCGCATCATTCCATTGTTCCAGCTCGCCGAGGTATTTTTCAGGTCGTGTAGATAATACTAAATTGAATGAGAAACCAAATATACCATAAACATGGCGTAAAAAGTCCAAACAACCCTTCATTTCGCTTTTAATCTGTTCTGGAGCACAGAATATGTGCGCATCATCTTGTTGGAAACGACGCACGCGAGTGAGACCAGTGAGTGCACCTGATAGCTCATTACGATGTAACACACCAAAATCGGCCATTCGAAGCGGTAACTCTCGCCAAGATCGATTACGGTTATCAAAAATAAGACTTCACAAAAAATTGATAGTCAACATAGATAAAATATATTTATTATATCAAATAATACTCACCAATGACCAGGGCAATTCATTGGCTTAAGTGCAAAAGTTTCCTTTTCCACTTCAAACGAAAACATATTCTCAGCATAATGTTGCCAATGGCCAGATGTCATCCATAATTTTGAGTTGTAAATATTCGGTGAAATAACTTCTTGAAAACCTCGTTTTCTGTATTCAGCTTTTATAAAATTAATGAGTGTGTTATAAATGTGTGCGCCTCGAGGTTGGAAAAAACATGAACCAGGAGACAATTCATGGAAAAAAAATAGTTCCTGTTCGCGTCCAAGTTTACGATGATCACGTTTAGCAGCTTCTTCTTGTATTTTCTCCCATTCCTTTAATTGTTTAGGATCTGGAAATGAAATGCCATAAACGCGTTGTAATGTTTCTGCATCAGCTTTGCCTTCCCAGTAGGTAGAAGAGTTTTTGGTTATTTTAAGTGCCTTTATTTTGCCAGTATGACGAACATGTGGACCGCGACACAAATCAATCAATGATCCGCATTTGTAAACAGTGGTTGTGTCAGTGTCGACTTTTTCATTAAGTATGCGGCACTTAAATTCATTGTATTTAAACATTTCAAGTAAATCTGATTTTTTCATTTCCAAACGTTCAAATGGCTGTTTCTCTTTGACGATTTGTTTCACCAAACCTTCCATAGCAGGATAATCATTTGTAGATATCTATTAATGTTAATATTAAATTTATTTAGTTAAAAATCATATTATTAATATGTATTTACTTACACCATCACCTTCTATATGCATATCATAGTAGAAACCACTTTCAATTGGCGGTCCATAGCACAAATGACCGCCATATATGCGTTCCATTGCCTCACCCATAATATGAGCTGAACTATGCCAGAACACAGCCTGAGCATCTGGATCATCAAATTTCAGCAATTGTAATGAGCAATTTCCTTCTAAGACGCGATCTAAATCCCATACGACGCCATTTACTTTGGAGATGACTGTGTTATCTGCCAAACCTTGGCTAATACCTTTTGCCACATCATAAGGCGTGGTTTCCCATGATACAGCATCAACTTGCTTACCATCTGGTAAGGTTACTTTAATAGTATCGCGTGGTTTAGCGGCTATTTCTGCAAGATATTTTGCCTTACATTTCTCCCATAAAGCATCACGTTCTGCTATATATGTTGGCCAGGGGTTCAGTTCTTTTACTGCAAATAAATAAAAATTCATTATTAAAATCATTAAAATTGTATATATTATAAAAACAGGATTGATAAGCAAAACCCCTTAAAATTTGATTAATTATAAAAAGACTTATCTTCAAATTGTTATAAAAAAATTCAGATAATTTTTTTAACATATCAAAATTTAAAAAAATTGTGCATCACATATTTTAGATAGTTAGATGATTTGGATTTATTTTAATATTTACATAATTTTTTTATTTATATAATTTTTTTATTTAAATAATTTAGGAAACTTTATAAATAAAATTAACTAGACGATAATACAGTTTTCTCATTCAAAATGTAGAAAAATTACGTAGGCAATCAATCCCAATTTAGCTCAAATAATGACCCGTTAAATTCTTATATATTATCTATTGTTGGCTTTAGGACTTTCTCTTCTGCAAGAGAACATCATATCCTAAACTGTGATGTAGAAATAATTCATATTAATAAATTTACGATTAATAACCTCGGTCTCAATTAGCCATTTTTCTGAAATTATAAACATAGACAACTGTTAGTTTTATCGCATGTCATACGAGATGTGTTGGCTATTGCTAACGCATATATTTAGATTTAATAGCATCTAAAATGCAATAGATCTGTTGACTTTATATACCATTTATGGCAGAACAAAAAAGAAGTAGCAGAACGTGACTAGTCACCTTATGATATCAATATAAGGTTAATATAGATCATTAACGGATCTAAAGAGCAGGAAATATGAATGGATTCAAAGCGAATACATTACTTACATACATATATGTACATATTGTTATTTGTATTTTATTATTTGATTGTGAAAATGCTCTAACAAAATGAAATCTCAGAAATAAGCACGTGCGAAATGTTAATAACGTTATTGATTGCATTTACACTCTTTACACAAGTTTTAAACTGCAGTTGTTGATAATAAAAACACTTTTTTTTAATATACTTCTGTTAATAATACTATTTATTAGTCACCTGATTTGCCAGCGTCTCCAGCGACAGCAGTATTCTTCTGTTTCTCTTTCTTCATTTTAGTTGCCTGCAATAACGCAAAAAAAAATAAATAAAAATATTGTAAAATAACTGAAGTGTTTTAAGTGGTACAAATTAAGTTAATTTAACTTTAAACAACAAATTGAACAAAAAGTGGTGTTCGAGTAATATGGACTCTTGTACAATTATCAATTGAACTAACTAGTTATTTTCTCAATCCCAGATAATGAAACAATTTTTGATGAATTGTCGAATTCTTATGAAAAACAACAAATACTTTTGAAATGCTTTACTTTTCATTTTAATTGTGTTTTGGGGCCGAGTTTTTATCGTATAAATTATATTTTAATTTCGTTTATTGATATTATTATTTTTTGGTTGTTTGCCGGTGCTATTGTGCGTTGTTTAAACAACTGTCGTTCGTAAAATATTTGTATTATTAAATGATGTCAAATAATATTACATATATACTTTTTTTTTATAACGAACCTAACAGTATGAGTATTAATGGTGAAATGTTATTGTTTGCTTAGATAGCACAAGTTTTTCGAATGTAGTTTTTATCTTTTACTTCTTCTGACTACTTTTCTGATGCAATAAACTGAACATTTTGGGTAAATTGCAGATATGCGAACAGCAGAAACACAATACGCAAAGCAGGGTTACCATGAGCTTAAAACTAAACAAAAGGCCAGTTTGCTTAAAAGCTATCACAACTACACCCATGCACACGTACGTTGTAAAAACATTTAAGCATATACAATGCATATGAATAGAAGTAAATAAATAAATTGTTAACTTTGTTAACTCTTTTTAAGCACGAGTGTTAAATAAGTGGATTTAATATAAACAATTATTTGTATTAGGTTGTGTAATAAGTTTGTGGAGCGTCATCTATTCTTCAACAGCAGAACTAAAGATTTAACACCATTTTAATATTCAATCTATTCAAAAAGAGCTTAAATCTTTTGAATTGAACGTATTAGTATAATTTTCAACAGCGGAAAACTATAAAATAGAACACCCTGTAATGATCAAATTCCTTGTAAAAAAGATTTAATGGTAATGGAAATTTGTACCAATACGTAAAATGTCTAAGGTGAATCTGCTCCAAAAACTCAAAAACAGTCATTTGTAAGTGGGTTGTTTTATTTAAAAATGACACTTTAACACAAGAAATCATACCAATAATATAGAGAATGATTTTAGGAGATCATCGATCAATCGGGAAAAATTTAATAAAAGCTCTAAGCATTTTATTATGCACAAAGTCGCTAACAATATCACAAAAATGTGATATGAATGTTTTATAAATAATCGACGATTTAGTAGACCGTTTTATCAGTACAGATGAGAGTTGTGTCTAGGGTCTACCATCATCACTCTGGCGTGAATAAGCGTCAAGAAAGTTTTAACTCTGGTTTTTTGTGATGCAAAAGAAATTTTGTTGTTAAATTAATACCAAACTGGTAAAATAATTAATTGAGATTATTAAAACAACAACATTTCATTTTACATTTTAAAATATTGATATTTTAATTAGTGAAGTGAAAAAATTAGAAAACAATAACTAATTTAGTATCAACATCTCAGACAAGGATCAACACAAGACGCCAATTACGGTAAATTTACTGCACATCGTTTAAATAATGAAAAATAATTGAAAAACACAAGTAATGTAAACAGTTACTTGACAGTCAAAAAATGATGTGGGATTTGTTTTTTTTTTTATATTTTGTGTTCTTCTTTCAATAATATTATAATTTTTTTTATGTTCATATTCCTAATACAATAATTAACAAATATATAAAATAAAAAACATACATACTAAAACAAAAAGATGTCTTTTTTTGAAAAAGAAGTTGAAATTTTCAATTTTTTTTGAATGTGTAAACTCATACTTGACAAACTGTATGTATGTTGAAACTTATAAATAATTTAAACTAAATTATTTTTTATAATTAGCTGAAGAATTTAATTGATTAACTGGTATTGTTACTACTTTCTGCCAAGGATGAATTTTATTAAAAATTTCTGAAGAAAAAAGGTTTCTCTTCGTAAAAGTTTATGGTTCATAAGTGCAAATTTAAATTTTGTAGTTAAACTTTATTTCAAAATATTATATTATTTTACATGTTCTTCACATCATCATCAGTGTGCATATAGTTTGATATGAACTAATATATTTGTATTAGATATCACGGAGAACTGTGTCTTCAACTTCAAACAAAAACAATATAAAGAAATTGTAAAGGAATTATCAGTTCAATGTTAAATATGTTTTAAAAAATGATGTAATTGTATTGATGCTTAGATGAGTATTGGTCCTTTGCCAACAAGGTACTTGGGTCTCAACGGAGTGGTCCATTGCCTCAACAGTTCTTTTGTTCAAGGTTTATACAATTGTTAAGCTTTAGGAAATTGTATATATTTAATCACATATGCCTAGCTATGAAAATATATTTTAATAGAATTTGAACAAATTATGAACAGCAATTGCACCATTAGATATCTGAATGCCTTCCTTTAGCATTCCAGATAAACATTTAAAAATTGCTATTTTCCAAAGTTTATGATTATTCAGTACTCGCGTTTAGAAGGCTTTGTACTTGAGTCAAAACAGTATTTCTCGACTAGTTATTTCGTCAGCAAATGTTTTCAATAACTACGCGACAGTATTTTCCTATCCTGTATATATGCATATATATACATATATATATACCATATATATATACCATATATATACATATATATATACCATATATATACATATATAT